ACTCATAGTTAGTTAAACTTAAAAGTATGAGTGTATTCAACTCCATTTATAATTTTAAACTACTTTAAAAAGTGTACTAAGAATTTTACCTGGTATACTGTCCAAAAAAAATCAATAATTACTGTCTGAAACACCCCAAAAAACTACCACTAAAGTCTATTCATGCTAGAAAATAAAGTAAAAGTAGTTTGAAATGCTTTGAGAGAATTAGAGTGCTTAGGTGTATGTAAAGTATCAAAAATATTATATTAAAGATCAGTCTTTGCTAATCAATTTGGTAAGACACCATGTGCCAGAAAAAACAGTAGTAAAAAACATTTCTTTTTTACTGAATGTGGCCCAAAACAGTAATTAGAGGCTTCAAATAATCATTGTCATCAATCGAGTACCCAAATACTCTTTCTCAAAATCAACCTACCAAACAATAATATATCATGTGTCTGACAGAACAGACACAATTCCGTTTCAATCAGTGCTTTAGTCCACAATGTCTATGCTACATCCATCAAAATGCTATTTTTTAATGTGTGAAAAGCGTAACTTCCATAAATTACATGCTGCCACTCCAGACCTCCACACAGAACCCTAGACTAGATTTAAAGTCGTACTTCACCAAAATGTAATGTTGTTGATGAACCTTTTCTATTTATTCCTTCAGACACATCCTGCACTTCCATAGAAGGCTCTAATTTTATCAGTCAGAGGCCCGAAACAGGCAGATCCTCTATGGTGGTTGAAGAAAAAAGACTGATGTTGAAATACTGCATAAACACCAAGGCCGAAGACAGCGTGAGATCATGAAGCGTGCCACTGATGGAGAGATGTTTTAGCGGTTAGTCGGCAGGGAAGCACAAAGTTTGCCAAACCTCCGGTCTCCAAACACTGAGCAGAGCGTCCAGCTTGTTCATGACTACTGCAGAAGGCAGAACTGCACAGAACAAACATGCAATAAATGTCACAAGTCAACATCAACAGATACACACGCGACTGACCACGCGTGTGAAGTCCGAGTTAGAGGTATGAACGTGGGCTAAAACGAGGATGGTGAAATGTTTTAACAGCACAGGAGATGGAGAAAGATGTAAATATTTGCTCCGAAAATGACTGCTGTGCTGCTAAATATGATGTTCTGCGGACCAATTCAGGCAAGGCTTGATGGCCTCCGAGGTCTTACGAAAAAGAATGTGGTGGATTTTTTTAAAAAGGCACTGAAAAGCCCAACACACTTGGAAGTCAAACCATAAAAGTGGAATTTGGTTGCTGATAAATGTACAAAGTGCTGTGCAAGTTCATAGCTTTCAAATAATTAGTAGGACACTAAGAAGCTGTAAATAAAAATGAAGAAATGGGTCCAAAATGTGTCTGGAATAAATGAACAGTGCTGGAGAAGATTAAAAAATGACTCTATATCAGAGGCTTAATCTCTCGTTTGCACCATCTTATCTTCGGTATTTTAGATGCTATTATGGTACCATGCAGATCGATGCTATGCACCTTAGGGAATTTGGCTAATTAGGCCTAATGCTGGCTGGATATCAGTTACCTAGCTGGCTAAATAACACCAGCTAGAAAAGCAAGCGTGCTGCCATATGTGTGTCGCCAGAGGGCTGCTCAAATACACTGACCAAACCAGGTCATTACCTGTTGAGTTGAATCAGGCATAGGGGCTCTGCCATAGGGTCATCCATACTGTATCGCGTGTCCTGTGATTACAGTCGCTCTTCCCACAAGAGGCTCACGTCACTCCCCTAGCAGTGCCGTGCGTCTGCTGTGCATTAGCTTGGGAACATTATTCCTGCGTTATGGCTAACCTCACTGCCTTTTTAACTGCCATTACGTGGGGCGCGTGCGGCCTACCACCAGACGGAAAAGCTGACTCACATTTTCTCGCCCTCTGTGGCCCAGCTGGAGATGGCTGAAAAGTACCTGACTCCAGATGTCTAGACGCCTGAAGGCCAGGAAGCTTAAGCTCAGAATTTCTACTTACCTCTTCCTGAAAAACGTGCACACACTATATGGCCAATGTATGTGGAAACCTCTCCTAATTATGGAGCTTAGGTTTTTCAGCTACACGCATTGCTAACAGTGTATAAAATCAAGCATATAGACATGCAATCTCCACAGATAGACACTGACAGTTGAATGAAGAGCTCAGTGACTGAAAAAGCTCAGTAAGCAATGTCTCAGGATACCATCAAGTCTGCCCCGCTAGATCTGCCCCAGTCAACTGTAAGTGCTATTATTGTGACATGAAAGTGTCTAGGAACAACAACAGCTCATTCACAAAGCTTTAGACCATGCAAATTCGCCTACCCTCTACTGGATTACAACAGTACTACACTTACTACAGAGTTTTAAACTGCTGCTGCAAGCAACATCAGCACCAGAGCTTCATGAAATGGGTTTCCATGGCCGAGCAGCTGCATACAAGCCTAAGATCATTAAGCTCAATGCCAAGCGTCGGCTGGAGTGGTGCAAAGCACGCTGTTAATGGACTCACAGTGGAAACGTGTTCTCTGGAGGGTTCAGGCAGTCTGATGGAAGAATCCGGGTATAGTGCCAACAGTAAAGTTTGGTGGAGGAGGGATAATTATCTTAACTTCCAGTTCCAGATACAAACAGATTTTAGACAATTATGTGCTTCCAACTTTGTGACAACAATTTGGGGAAGACCCTTTCTTGTTCCAGCATGACTGAGCCCCTGTGCACAAAGTGAACTCCATAAAGACATGGTTTCAAAAGTTTGATGTGGAGGAACTCCAGTGGCCTGCACAGAGCCCCAGTCTCAACCTCACTGAACACCTTTAGGATGAAATGGAACTCTGACTGTGAGCCAGACCTTCTATCCAGCATCAACACCTGACCTCATACATGTTTTTTTTTTGACTGAATGGGCACAAATTCCCACAGACACACTCCAAACTCTTGTGGAAAGTATTCCCAGAAGAGTAGAGGCTGTAATAGCCAAAAGGGGGCCAACTCCACATTAATGTCCATGATTTTGGAATGGAGTGTCCAACAAGCTTGTATAAGTGCGACGGTCCGGTGTCCACACACTTCCATCCTGCAAAGCTTCTCGGGAAGCAAGATATTCTGAATGAATGCACCTCTAAACCATCCTCGGTCTCCGTATCATATAAGGTACTTACGCCACACAGCTCATGCTAAAGCAATGCATAGATTCCAGTACTGAACAGCCCTGTAGCAACAAGAGAAACAACAAACTTTTTCCAGTTGGCATCAAACCCTTAACTTCCTGGCTCATGGATGAGGTCACTGACCACTGGGATACCACTATGAGATAAATCTGGAGCCATGTGCATTACATCTCTCCCACAAAGCTTATAACTGCAGGATAAATACAGTGCAGTCTGTAAGTAATTGGACAGGCTCTGTACTTCAGAGCAATGAAGTGCAGGATGTCAGTTTTAAACAATGGTTATTTACATCTATATTGGGTGAACCGTATGGGAATCACAAGCCCCCCCATTTCAGAGGACCATAAGAAAATAAACAATTTAACATTATCTACAATAAGGCTGTCATGTTTAGTTCTTGGCTGCCAATCCTAAAAGAGGTCTTTTCACACTGTCAGTTGTCCAGCCCTCTAAATAAACGTTCAGAACAAAAATCCTGACATTGTGTTATATTTCTAGAGAAACTGAACTGCTTCATTACAGAAGCTGGAATGCATTATTCCTGCATCTGGATTCTGATCTCTCACACTGCTGCTTTGTTTAAGAGCTACTTCTTTTCTGAAATTAACAAGCGTCACCACATCTGTCCTTTACACTGTGTAAAATTTCACAAGGAATGAGCTAATAGAAACACTTCAAGATCATTTGGAATAAAATCTTTCTACATTAATTTACATTGGAAGTTAAGAATGTTTTTGCCTTCTCCTGTAAAGTTATCATATTTGAGATACATGGACAGCGACGATGTGCAGAAAGCAAAGCCAGCTTAACCCCTTAAAATCCCAGGCTTATTACATACTAAGGTTTGTTATTCAGTAACTACAGGGACTTCAATGCAAATTGGCTAAGATATTCTTAGGTTATAGAAGTGTGTAATAAAACTTTGGGCCCCAACTTAAGGGCCTGGCCATTTAAGGGGGTAATGACTGTAGCAGGTCAATCAAATCCATATAGGAGCTCAGTCTTTCCATAGACGCTACTGATAGAAACATTGCTGAAGAAAACCAGAGATGAGGTAGGCTTTCTGTAGTAACTGAGTTTGTCCCAGTTCAGCAAAATTACTTGAAATATAGTGAGTTAAATTTGTTTAGCATGCATAAGCTGACCTCATAGACACCAGTGTTTCTGCTGTTTAAATGGGATGAAAGCAACAGTAGATGGTTGATGATAGCCTGTGCAAGTCCTGCCACCGCTGTGATTCTTGGAAGCTCCTCCAGGAGGCTTTTTGCCACCATTGCCAACTCAAGTGATCGACCTGGCCAGTCAAGAACATTCCACTTTTTGACTCTGGCAAACTCCTGTGTTGCTTGTGTTCCACTTCTGAGAAGTTTGTTTGGATCTGCGCTGGGTTTCCCAAAACATCTTAGCACAAAGATGTTACACTGAACACTCTTTCAACCAGTTAAGATGATCTTAACGCTAAGAAACATTTGGGGAAACTGGGCCCTGATGCTCCTGCTCACTTAAGAATTCATCTGGCTGCTGCTGTTGGCCAAAACTTTATCAATGAAGTCAAGTGAGCTGGTTCCACTGTCAGCCATACATGCTCATTCCACAGAAGAGGTTGCATTCTAGCAAAACAGGCTTTTATGTCTTTAAGCTCCTTTCATAACAAGAAGTCATGATGGTTATATGCATGACTAAGGACAGCTAAGACACCAAGACACTGTGTGCCTGAGGACAGACACCAGATGTTCCCTGACAATAATGGCATCAAGCTGTCAGGTTACAAGCAACAATGGCTTTAAATGGGGAGTCGTAGTGCGACCAAAATAATAAAACGGCTGCACTGAGTGCACTTACATCAACGTTGTTGTTGAGGGGGCTTAGGAACCTGAATCCTGGGATCCTTTTGTCGCTGCACACCACCCCTACGTCTTCTGAGTGTTTGCAGTCGGATACTCCGATGCCATTGGACTCGCACTGCGCCAAGGTCTTCTCCTTCCCTGTGCAGTGGACATTATCAAACCAGATGCGGCCTGAAAAACAAGAGGAAGTCAGCTGTTGGAGAAGTGTGGAACACTGAATTTCCATTAAAAAGTCCAGATCTCTGGGTCTTACAACATGCAAAGGAATTTCTGATGTTTTGAAACGAAAACTAATATGGCGCATGTTTCTAACGGTGGAAAGAATGATAATGCGAAAAACAGAATAACTATGCATAAATCCCCTTGCTAACAAAGCTTAATGTAAGACCTTTACATGTAAATGTAACTCAAGACTAACTAAAGCACAAAAAAAAGTGCCAGTCAGGCTTAGACCTAGATAGACCTAATGGCCAAAAGGAGATATTTCAGAGGAGATTAGATATAAGATAATCCACTTGCATAAGGAAGGTAACAAAACGAGTGTCCAAAACTGGGGTTCAAAAATGATTAAAAGACATCTAACAACCACCTGCAAGACCTGGCAGACCACCAAAACTGTCCCCAATCAGAAAAACAGAACTTAAAGCTTTGATCTTTGAGAGAGAGGAGAAAATCGAGCTTCTTCAGATCTGAAAACATCCACAGGTGTTTCTGTCCATCCTTCCACTGTGAGAAGACGACTCAGCGCTATGGGTCTGAAAGGATGTGTAGCTGCCAAGAAGATGTTACTGAGAAAAGTAAAGAAGAACATCTGCACTAGAACACCAAAACTGGGCATCTGTGATGTGGAGTGAGATTTTATGGACTGATTAGTCTAATTTTGTATTTAGGAGTACTTTGATCACAAGATCAGAAATGCAATGAACTTCTATGACTGAACTTTAGAGGTGTGGAAAAAGATCCCCGCTCATTTCTTTGAAAACCTGAAAGTGAGTCTTGGTTTTTGAGGCTTACCTATACATGTTTCCTGTTTTTCTGATGTTGAAAAATGAATAATTTGTACTTAATGACCATGCTGAATGGAAACTGAACACATGAAATGGTGGTCAGTACTACATGTTGGCTACGTTAGCTTACCATTTCCTTTCCCGTATTTGGCTGAAGGGGCCCAGGAAACCGCCTCAGAGTAGCCCAGCTCCCTGCACACCACCTGAGCGGCATGGATGTTGAAATCATCATCACATACGGTTCCCCACTCCCCGTTATAGAGGACCTCCAATCGGCCCTCGTTGTGTTTGCGCTTCTCCCCGGCCAGACGCAGCTGGATCCTGGGTACGTCAGCTGGAATCTGTGGCGCGATGTACTGATCCTCCACAGGTTCAGGATAACCATGAGGGTAACCCACGTACTCGAACTGAGCGAGGCACAGACTCCATATACACGATAATACAGCCAGGCGGGACGGGAGAGACCAAAGGGTCGACATTGTGGTGCTCGTCCAGTAACGATATGACCTGTAAAAGAACACAAAGAGGGCAAAGAGAATCTTAGATTATGCTTTGATACCTTAACAACCCATTTGTACCACCAACCTACTGCTTCTTTGCCACGTAACTCGTCCCACAGTTTTCGAGATATCAACACTGTTCCAACTCCAGATTGTCTGGCCTGATTGTGTGATGTGTGCTTGTATACAGCTTTTTGATCGGATGCACAAATTCCGTGTGGCAATGGAATTTTCTGGAATTTTTTCCCATAGGAGTGAATGGGGTGAAAAATTGCATGTCAATCTACAGTACTTCTGCTTTGACTGAAAGACACTGATTTGCATACACTATCTCAGGGCAGGCCGCCAAGCACGAATTCAGTGTTGTTCCGACCTGCTCTCATCCGTTTGCCATTTTTTTTCCCATCCCTCGTTTCTCCCATACGGTCCCATTCATTTTCGCCACCACTCAAACTCTATTACTTCTTTGCCTGACAGCCACAAAGATGTGTGCACTCACTCAGGGCACATCCCTAAGCTCTAATCCGAAGCCATGCTGAACCGCACTCCTCTATGTGTCGTTTTTTCATCCCTCGTTCCTCTCATACACTCTTACTCATATTCAACAACACGTAGCTACCACTTAGCAACACCCTATGAACGACTTATGAATCGCTTCATAACCTATGGAAACTGCCAAGCAACATTTTAGCAACCACCTGGGATACCATAGCAACTGCCTGGGATACCATAACAACCACCTAGCAGTCCTCTTGCAACCACCTGGGATACCAAATCAACCGCCTAGCAACATTGTAGCAACCACGTGGGATACCATAGCAACCACCTAATTATATTAACATTTGTTTTACTTTCTGTATCAACAAATATGAGCCCTTTGAAACATTTGCTTTGAAGGCACAACGTCAATAGCATGACAAAAATGTAAAGTACGTTTTTCTTTCTGCACAAATTCAAATCTTAATAAAATCAATCTTCTTTTCCCAAGAAACACAAATATGATATGGATTTAGCATTAAGAATCTGCAATAGAATCGATTGAGGACAGTATCACGATTAATTGATAGATCGCATCTATCATGATGGCCATCAAGCTGGACGATGTAAATGTCAGAAAGGCTGGCGAGGGTGCAGCAAGTAAAAGTAGTAAAATTTAAGTGTAATAAGTAATTTCACATGTTATGAAGTATTCTTTTAGCACAGCGTTGCATCCTTCAGCTTCATCAGTTCGACAGAATTCATCATTTATATCTTGCTTTCATTCATTTATGTTGCCTTAATACAATACCCAGCCTGTATTACACAAATACAACCATAGAAATATTGGGAATCTCTGTGGTGTCACCCAATCGTGACTATCTGTTAGTCACCAGTCTTAAAATTTCGGGTTAATTGAACTTCAAATAAATCAGTTGACAAAGCAGATTTTTGCTGTGTTAACTTGAAGCTGAGCAGCCACCAGAGAAGTCTCTGCAAGAATGATATAGAAGGTAAGAAACACTTTCAAATTAAGGTCGAGTTTCTCTTTTTTTCTCCGCTGCTCCTACAGCATGTGACCTCGCTCGTGTCAAAGATATCACAGGCTTCTTCAAAGACTTCCCTCAAGATCTGCACACCAAGATAAAAAAGCAGAAACGCTTCCAAGGACACATGCACACAGTATGTCAGAACTGTTTTCAGGAAGTGCGGCGCGTCAAATTTATCTGGACTTTCTGAACCGTAAAAAACAGAAGGTTCGTGCAGCTCAGATTCAAATGTGGCAGACAGACTCGAGTCTCACGAACCCAAAAGAATTAGCCACAGTTTCCATCTCAGACTATATGATGGGCTTCCTTCAGCTGGAACGCAGCGTGGCAGTTGTTACACAAGTCCAAAAGTATGTACGCGCTACAAAATGAAGACTGGTTAATGGTTAATGCAGCTGCAGGAGTTTCAAGTTTTTGGATGCATATACAAATCGTTTATACTATTTTGATGATTTGGATTTTTCTGACTTACCAGCAGAAGAAACAGCTGGAAAAGGCACTTAGACACAATGCAAAGTATTAAAGGCACACTCAACATGCATGCACTCCCAGACTACAGCAGCGCACAGTAGCCTACAGAGTGTGATACTCCAGTTTAAAGCTAGAAAACTAGGCATACTAAGGGTAAACTAAGGTCGAATTCATTTATTTACTTGGGTTTTTTGTCAATTTGTTAGCTGGCAACTGCTGAAAGAAGGTAGATAGCTAATATTCCTGCTAGGAGGTGTAATATCTGTATAGTAATCGCAACTGCCTTCAAATTATGATTACAATTATTTCTCAAAAAATGACTCATCACAAAACACTAAACAGTAGCAGGCTATCTAGTTACTTCACAAAGGTTTGGCATCTTCTCTTTGGGTGAAAGGTTGTCTGCTTTTTGCTTAATAAAGATAGAAAAGCTGAGGAATACACCGCTGCACTAAGAAATACTGCATAACATGACAAATAAAGTCCAGTTTTAGGGCTGATGCCCCAATTAGGCCAATATTAATTGAATAAAATAAAGATTACACACCAAAAATGTCCCCCAGTTAGGTTTCATTCACTAGTAGCAATGCTACCATTCTGGCTGAAGCTTTCCTTGAACTGAACTGTAAGTCTTCAGGTAGGTTTTTACTGCAAGGTTTTCCAGACCTTCTCATTTCCATTGACCAACTGAGTTAAAGCATTAAGAAACCAAGTACGAAATGCCACAAAGATACGTACGTCATTCACACAGCAGGATTTTCCCTAAATGTCTGTCTCTAACAACCAGGCCGTCCTCTGTGGGACCCTTTGCGGTCAGCAGTGCATGTTTGCCCCTGGCTACCATGAAAGGGATTCCAGCCCAGCTGCAGAGGTCAAAAGCCAAAAAGAGAACTACCAGGCCAGCATGTCGCTGTACAGAAATCCGGGAAAAAGACAGGCTTTGCACCATTGGCACAAATCATAAATACGGAGGAAACTTACAAAAATGACAGGGCAAGCATGACCAAACCCTCAATTAAGTGCTTTATTTCTATTGACTTTCATTTTTCTTCACTTCCCTCAGTCTTACTTTCACCTTCCCTTTTTCCTTGTCTTCTAGGATGATGTCATACCCAGCCTTTCATACTGGCACATTTGAATTCACCATTAAATACTGCTTTTTCTCAAATCCAGACAGCTATTCCACAACTTCTACAGTCCATGCAGTAAACCAAAATAAAAACTGGACAGTCCAGTCCACACTAAGTATACTTTAAGCTGTCTAAAAGTAGCTTCCAAAAACAACTTTAGTTTAAAAGTATCAGGTCTAGAAAGTCCACCAGTTCTGTGCACTTTTAGCAAAAATGGTTATATATAGTACCAAAGAAATGTTGTTTGCCTCTTTTTGGTGCTTTATAAAACCATAATTTCTAGGTGTTATATAGAGAACCGTATATTACCATTTCAATGCTCATTGTCATTGTTCTATATAAAAGCAAAGCATGAAGAACATATGAAGAACCTTGTTTTATAGAACTGCAGTGGAACTTCTTAGTATATCCTGCACCTATCAGCATGGGAACTTTGTCAGACTCTACACACTTGCAAATGTTCAAGGGCTCTTCAGTAAAGGCAATTTTCTTAGTTTAGAACCATGAGTTCCAAATAGAACCATTTCACATTTAAATGGCTCTTTGCGTGGTGAAATGGTTCTTCAAACTGATGGAAAATGAGCTGTATATGGGTTCATATAGAACCTTTTTTAAAAATGGCACCAAAAAAGGTTCTGTTATTGTTACAATGTCAAGCTTGTGACAATAATAGATCCCTTTTTGAGGCTATGCAGAACCATTTTCTATGCAGAACCATTTTCAAAAAAGGATTGTACCAAACCATGGCCTTTAATGAAGAATCCTTGAAGAACCATCTTTTTAAGTGTATGCTTCTCTTCTTGGGTCATTTTGGCCTCAAATAAAATGCCAAGGCTCCCAAGAGAACCACAGTGGAACCTAACTAAAATGCTAAAGCTCTCTACAGAACTGTACTAGAACTTCGTAGCACATCCAGCAACTATGAGCATGGGCACTTCAGTTTGTTAGGCTCTACACACTTAAAAATGGTTCTTCAAGGGTTCTCCAGTATAGGCAATGATTTTATTTAGAACCAAATTGTTCCAATAGAACCTTAAAGCTTAAATTGTTCTTTGCATGGTGAAACTGTTCTTCAGGCTGATGGAGAATGTGTTGTATATGGTTCTATACAGAACCTTTGTGAAAATGGCAGCTAAAAGACTTGCTACAATGTCAAGCTCGTGTCAACAGAAGAACACTTTTTGGTTCTTCTCTTCTCATTTTGGTCTAAACTAAAATGCTAAAGCCCCCAATAGAACAGCAGAGGGACTTCTTAGCACATCCGACATCTATTAGCAAAGAAAATAAAGTCTGTTAGTCTGAATTCTTCTCTTTTGGGTCTAAACTAAAATGCTAAAGCTCCCAACAGAACTGCAGTGGAACTTCTTAGCACATCCAGCATCTATTAGCATAGAACATAAAGTCTGCTAATCTAAGTTCTTCTCTTTTTTGTCTAAAATTGTCCAGAACTGAGAGGAATTTGCAACAGCAATGCCAAAAATTATGAAAATACTAGCAAAAAAAAGGAATTAGTGACTAAATATGGCTAAACTTAGCCTAAAATGAGAATGAAAGCAGGCTTCTGTCCTCATAAAAACACTCGAGTAGAAGCTAAAGTATCAAAAATACCAGCAGAAAATCTTCAGAAAAGTCGAATTTCTACTTCAATAAGTGGATACTGAGTAAAATAAGTGCTCAGCTCAGCTTCTGAGGGAATATTTTTTTGAAGGAAAACTTACTTTTAGTCTGTCGAAGCAACACAACCTTCCTCAGGACTCCTTCTCCTCAGAGCGATGCTCCTTCTGCTCTCCTCTCCTCAGAAACCAGCCCGGACTTTCACTGCTTATCTGCGCTGCTCTTTCAGAGTCCCGGCCCCGAGTCACGCCTCGCCCCCCGCACGCCCACCGCGTAGCAACATGACTGGAATTCTTCAGGGAATCAACATCCATGGAATACGTGCAAGGCAGTCAGTCAGTCAGGTAGTTCCGGCGACTTTCTGAAGATATTTTAGCGCTATTAATGAGCCTAATGCTGTTAAGGTTTTTGACCACAAAGCGAGATTTTACTGTTGCGCTTTGGCGCCCCCTATCGGCCATTACTCCAGGTTTGGTACTGTTGTTCCTGTCAGAGCTGAATTAGTAAAGGAAAATGGAGTCTAACTGCTTTTTAAAGCTTTTTTTTTAGTTTGTTTCGGTCTCACTGAAGAATAAGTACAGAGTTTGCTTTCACATATCGTTTTTTAGCTTTTTGAAACGGTTTAAATACTGTTTTCATGTCGCCAACGCCCTTGTGTGGCCGTTCACGTAAACTACAGCAAATACCTCAGAAATGCTAAAGTACATAATGTTTTTTTTTGGGAAAAACTGCAGTGTTAGAAGAGAAATACCATCAGTTATTCAAATGTTCTGTATAATATAGTGGTTGAGATGTAAACAAAGTCAGTCAGACTCTAAAACTTAGAGATTTACAGATATCTTTACAGGGGTGGTGGTACCAGGTGGTCATGACATCCAGAACACAAATCCAGCCATTTTATTTACCACTCAAAGCCACTAGTGAACCTAGGCTTGTCTTCTGAGTTGTTATATGTAATGTTGATGGTGGTAAAATAGTGGAAAATCTGAAAAGTTTCTTTGGGGACTATTTTGCATTATAGCCTCTTCACCAGATCTTCAAAACCTTATTTTAGGCCCAAAGCATTTGTAAAGCTCTCGTAAAACAGAGTCTCAGACATCAGGCGGCACATTTATAACCAATTCATGTAATAACTTTCTGTGAGGGAGCTTTTAGAGGTGGACATCTGGTTCCTATCACCACCACCGTGAACAATTCTGACTCTGTTTCTTTAGAAATGAACACTTTACAGTGACTCTGTTTACCATTACATTATGCAGATTGTTTTTACAAATTCCCCACTGGACCCCCTCAGCAGGGTCTTATTTACTTCCTAGCTCAATAGAGCGTTATTAAATTGCTATAAATACGTTCTAGAGAGAGATCCAGTTTCAGACAAAAGAATAAAACAAATATAGACAGTATGAATTGGCAGAACATCTCCTCACCATCAAAGACGCAAAACAGAGACAAAGTCCAGGCAAAGTGACCACAGTCTAGCCATGTAAAAGGACAGATATAAGAAATCTTGGCTGTCCAGAGAGACAAGATGATGTGGTCGCTGTCACTCTAATAGTGGTGAGGCTGCACTTTCTCCTTCACTATTTTTCACTGAAGTACACTTCTGTGCGAAAAATGGTAAAACATGAAGTTATTAAGTTTTTAATGGTCTTAACAACAAATCATTAAGCAAACAGATGCAGTACCTGAGTACAGGACAGCTTTGCTCTTTCACTTCTTTAACTCTTGTGGGTGAACTTGCAGACAGCTTTTTACAAGAAGTAAATTTATATTGTTCCACTCAGCACTGACGACTTCAAACAGCTGTGTTTAATGTGAGACCAAATAGGGATTAAATCTGGACTCTGATCAGCCCAAAACCATCAGTAAAAAGCACTATATTTTGGGCTTGGCCTATTTTATTTATTTTTTATTTTTATTTTTTTTTGATTTCTTAAAATTCACAGAGGATAAAAAATTCCAGTTAATCTTAGAACAGAGACATATTGTTGCATAATCTAGATTAAAGAGGAATTCAGCTGATTTTTTTTCACACTTCTGCACAATTAAGTGGATGAAAAATAAAGTCAGTCAGAGTGGTTTGAAAATGCTTCTAAGTTTAAGTTTTAAGTTTATTTAAAAGAAAACTGTTCACAGTGGTGGTGATTGGAACCAGACGTCTGAAGAGTTTAATGCCTCTAAAAGCTCCTTCACAGAAAGTTATTACATTAAACTACATTAAATGGTTAGGAATTTGTCCAGTGCACAAGAAAAGCTTTTTTGAGATTCATCACTATTTAACCATCATCATCATTACATACAAAAACTCGTGTAGGTTCACTGGTGATTTTGGATAGTAAATAAAAAGGCTATATTTGTGTTGTAGATGGTGACCCCTGGTTCCTATCACCACCACTGTAAAGAAATCTGAGTTTCTACACTCTGAATGACCTACTTTACATCTCAACCACTAAATTATGCTGAAATGTTTAAAAATCAGTGGAATTCTCCCAATATGTTTGTTTACATATTACTACAATGTACTTACACTACATCTTTATTGCAAAAAGATCTGTATGTATACACTAGTATGTTAAAGTGCAATGTAGGATGGTGCTGTAAAAGTAGGCATGGTCACATGACTGAACTAGTTTTAAATAGAAAATAAATAAAATGAAGGTACAAAAAGCTCATCTAAAACGTTTGAAGAGGTGTTTTAGATTTTTGTAAATTGAAATACATTAACTATAATGAAACAGAAGTTATTTTTATTCATAGTTTTGTTTAGCAGTTCTATATCCAATGATATTTTAGATAAAGTATCTATCTATATAATGTATATATAGATCTCTTTATGTATGTAACTATCAATTATCCAGTTTTATTAAAATTTTATACATATATATATATAAAATCATATTTTTTCTCTGAGCTATATATATTAATACAATACTTATTACATGCATATACATATAAATTAACCATATATTCTCATCAGTTCTCTATCCAATAGAAACAGACATACATTCTAACGAATTAATGTGACACAGACAACAATTCTGCATTTAAAATGTTGTTTTATTTGTATTTTATACTAAAATGCATTTAGAGAAATTCTTAACATTTGAATGAAAAAAAAAACAAACACAAAGAAAAACCAACGGTATCATTACCATCTCTAAACTAAGGAACATCCGTATCATTGGACAAATAAATAAATAACATGTTCTGTTTAGTATTTACAAGAAGTCACAATCGTTATCAGTATTTACAAAAAGAAAAAAAAACGACAAACATAAGCTAAGTAGGACGTCCTTTCTCACACATGCCTTCCCTCACACAGTAACTCTACAGGTAGATTTAAAAGCACATTACGCTGTACAAAATAAAGAGTTTAGTGTAGGACTCTCTCCCACTTCTCTGTGTCTACAGTCTAACCTCTAACCGGCTCGAAGGGATTTGAAAATGTTACCACAAAGCCTAATCGGATTTGTGTGTCGTTTACAGAGGTAGAGACAGTGTGTTGTGTTCTCAGAATCTCAAAAAATAAAGGTTCACAAATAAAAAAAAATGTTTCAAATCGCCACTTATGCTGCCTAGAAATCTCAGAAAAACGAGGCCGGTTCCAATTCTCCGTTCCACCTTAACTGGTGCTGCAGTTACATTCCCTTCTGAATGAATGAATGAATGGAACTGTTGGCACCAGTTAAGGTGGACCGCAGAGTTGGAATAGGGAGCTAACTTTAGCTTCACAGAAATCTCGCTGGTGATAGTCCGGACGCAACCAAAGTCTATGTAAGCCGGGGGCGGGGAGAGTCCACCTATCGCCCCCTCCTCTGTAGAGTTAGTCCATACACACCCCTTTCATTCAGCATGGTATCGTCCTCCGCACTTTTTGTGAAAACATGTCGTTTCGTTGAAAAAAAAAAAGTAGTTTTCTACTTCTTCTTCGCAGCCTTCTTCGCCTTGGTTACTTTGGGCTTGGCCGCTTTAGGCTTCACCGCCTTGACCTTCTTGGGACTTTTGGCCACTTTCTTAGCCGCGGGCTTCTTCACCTTCTTCGGGCTCTTGGCGGCAGGCTTCTTGGCCGCGGGCTTCTTCACCTTCTTCGGTGCCTTCTTGGGCTTGGCTGCCTTGGCCGCAGCGGCTTTCTTGGGCTTGGCCGCTTTGGCTGGAGCTTTCTTGGCGACGGGCTTCTTGGGCTTAGCCACGGGTTTCTTGGCGGGCTTTTTGGCGGCGGGTTTCTTGCTCACCTTGAAGGAACCTGAGGCGCCGGTGCCTTTGGTCTGCACCAGGGCGCCCTTCTTCACCAGCGACTTGAGAGCGAGCTTGACGCGGGCGTTGTTCTTCTCCACGTCGTAGCCGCCGCCGGCCAGAGCCTTCTTCAGCGCGGCCAGGGAGACTCCTTTCCGCTCGCTGGAGGCCGCCACTGCCTTCACGATCAGGTCCGACACGCTCGGTCCGGCTTTCTTGGGCTTGGCGGCGGACTTCTTCTTGGGCGCCTTGGCCGGCGCTGCGGCCGCGGGAGCTGGAGCCGTCTCTGCCATGTTTCAGCCGCGGTGCTCAACGTCACGTAGAGAAAGTTGGAGTAGTAGTAGTGGAGGAACGCTCAGTGTTTACGTCCCAACGGCCGAGGGCGGGATTTAAACGGGCGATGAGAACCTTATAGACTCAATCGCCCGCACGGCTGCTCCCCAGCAGCGGAGAAGTGCTTTCAGATGTGTTTTCTTACCCGAAGAAACGCGATAATTTCCACGGTAACCGGCTACGGATCGCGGTGCGGCGGGCACGGATCGATAGCTGACTTCTTGGTTTTCACGGCCGGCTCGTGGTTCGCGCCTTTGGGTCGCCGGTTTGGTACAAAATGGCCAAAACGCGGCCAAATCTGAGCCAAATCCGAGTGGGAAACATCGTACTTCCTCTACTCTTTTAAAGATTATACGTCCAATTTCGCCACCAAAGGTGGGCAGCTTGGTCGGCCGACGTAGAGAAGACTCCAACGTACACGTTTGTGGCGATTTCAGGGAAACATTTCCCCAGAAAGAGGAATTTTGAGCCGTTTTCCACAGCCGAGGTAGCACAGCTCCTCGCTGTCGCCATTTCAACCTCCCTTAATCTCAAAGATTCTTTCTTCAGCCACTGTACACGGACCAGGACTAATTTCTGCCCAACATTTCACTCGAGAAGGTCAAATAAATCGGCGAAATGGTCCCGTTTGGCAGAAAAAAAAAGTCGAGTCCGCGACGTGTAGTTTACGAACTGTGTACGTTAGCATTGTCTCTGAGGTACATATGCTAGTCGTGGTAGCTCACTTTTAGCTTGGGGTGTTGTGAGGTAAATGTCTGTGATATTTGAATTTTGTGGTCACATTTTGAAATAAAATCATGTTAAATTAACTTTAGGCTCGAAGTTTGTTCCCAAACGGGCCCGTGGTTTATAATAAGCGTTCTTTTTAAACAGTTAGCTCGACTTCACTTAGCATAGCCATCGAACTGATTCAATGGACGCACAATAGCCTCATTGAAGTTACCAGCATCCATTTCCAAGGCTTAAAATTAAAGCCTGTGGTGATTTTGTGCTACAAAATGAGTTTACATGTCGTTTTTGCATTGATTTACCTGTGTTTGTTCAGTCTTTATACACTTATTTGCATTTTACACTGCATTTGCAGCCTTTTGTCTGTATAGCAGTGCTAAGACAGCATTATTCAGGAATGACCACTGTAAGAATGCTGGACTTAGCCAGTAAAAAGACCATTTTTTTTTTAAATGTCCGCATAATTAAATGGTTAACATGTCAACAAAGTCATTTAGAGTGGTTTGGTCCGAAATGCTTAATTGTAGAGAAACTTGCCCAGCCACAGTTGTTCACAGGGGTGGTGACATGAACCAGACAAGGGTTTAATGCCTCTAACATAAAGTTATTATTATTACATGGAGTGGTTATGAATAAACTGCCAATGTCGGAGACACTGTTTAATGATAGTTGTGTAATTAAAGTTTTGGTCTAAAACATATTTTAATAGATTTGTTTTAATCCGTTCATGGTGGAGGGATACATGGTGGGTGTTCTAAGGTTATATAGTCCCCTAAGAAAACTATTTCAGACTGAAATGGCCACATTTGTGTTGTAGTCGTGGTGACCCCTGGTTCCTATCACCACCACTGTAAAGAAATCAGAGTTGGTAAGTTTCTTTACAAATTAATTAATTCAAATCACTCTGACTGACTTTATTTATATCTTAATCACTGTATTATGCACACGTTTACTGGAATTCCTCCTTAATGGGTGATACCTCTTGGCATAATTCAGCAGTTGAGATGTAAACAGAGTCATTCAGGGTGGTTTGGTGTGAAATGGTTCACTGTAGAGACTCAGATTTCTTTACAGTGGTGGTGATAGGAACCAGGGGTCACCATGACTACAACACAAATATAGACATTTTATTTACTATCCAAAACCACCAGTGAACCAACACTTGTCTTCTGAGTTTTATATGTAATGGTTAATTTGAAGAAAATCCATTGTTTTGGGGGGCTATTTTGCTTTACAACGTCCTGTATGTACCTCTTCACCATGAATATATTTTGCAAATATATATTTTATACCAAAACTATCATAAAACAGTGTGTCAGGCATCAGACAGTTTATTCATTAATGGTGGGCCAAGGGCAAAAAAAAACAAAAAACAACCATACAGTGTTATAAACTACAGTGTATATAACATATTAACACCATGAAGCTTAAAAAAAAATCAAATTTAAAGGTAAAATTAACATTGTGTAAGTTATGTATGGTATAAAAATATGTTCTCTCATTGGTTGAGGGGGTAACTTTCTGGAGGGCCGTCATTGGGCCAACTCTGGGCAGCCTTGTTTTAAGTAGCATTAAACTCTTCAGAAGTCTGGTTCCCATCACCACCACTGGGAACAATTCTGTTTACATCTTAACCATTTAGTTATACATAAATAAATACAATACATAAATAATATATATAAAATAATTCCCCTTAAAAAAAGCAGCTGATAATGCCACTGCATTGCATTTGCTGATTACATTTCATTTGCAAATAGGCTTAGTAAATATGGAGAAATGCCTGCGTTAACATGCAACTTGTTATAACAGATTAATTACCCTAATAGCATCAGGTTATGGTTGACGAAGTGGAAAAATACAGACAAATAAATAAATTAATAGGCCATTATGTTTGACAGGTTTAAGGAGGCAAGTCTGCCTTGTTATAACAGCTTAATTAACCAAATGGGCTGACTTTGTTCCTCAGAGATGTAAAAAGAGCCAATGCAGTCTCGTAATAAACACAATAAATAAATAAATAAACAAAAAAATGAGTGGTTATGTTAACAAGGCGGATCTTAAATTGTGCAGTGGGGCCTTTATTAATGCTAATATAAACACATACAGCTGTTTGAAAAAAAAAAGACGAGGTGAAGTGTAAAACTAGTTTTAAAATTATTATAACAATATTATATATATATATATATATATATATATACACATACATATATATATATATATGTTCATTTATTACTCAAACATTATCCTTCACAGGAAGGATATAATAGAATGAGTGAATGCACTGAATGGATGAATCCTTTTTTAATCATGTAAATAAATTACATTTAAATCCATTTGAAACTTTTTTAAAACTGAGGGTGTATAAACGTGATTTTGCACAATTTAATAATTATTCAATGAAGTGGCATCATCTGAAGTAACCTAATGAGCATAATAGTACTTATATATAATGTATATTCCAAAAGATTATAAGATTTCCATTCAGAAAGAATTTAAAGGTATTTTTTTATAAGAAACTAGAAAAGCTTTTTAAAACCTTTAACACAATGAAAAAAATGGACAAAGCTGATATTTTTTTTAAATTTATTTTTACAATATATACAAAATAGAAAAAAAAACGTTTTTTTGTTTTTTTTCCAATCTCTGTTAACAATGATAAACAAAACATTATTTTAAAAAGGCAAGCAAAAATGGAAGAAGCTGATATTAAGAAAATAATAAAGTAAATAAAAATGTTGAAAAATTTCCATATATATATATATATATATATATAAAAAGAAAGTGAAAGAAAAGTTTTCTTGTAAATAAACTAAATTGAAAAATGTATATTTTTATAAAAGAAAATAATATGAATTTACAAATTACATACCATAAAAACAGAAAGAAAGAAATTACAAAACTGAAAATATTTATGTAGAAAAGATCTTGGCACAGCCTACCGTTCAAAAAATGAAAAAAAGAAATACAAACAGATTTCGGATTTTGCCCTTTTACAGATCAGGTGGGCGGCCCTTAAAAGAGCCTTTTAAGAGTTGGAGGGTGTCGGTGTCGGTGCGCGGGTCGGTCCGGGTTCGGTTTAGCCGCCGAAGCCGTAAAGCGTGCGGCCCTGGCGCTTCAGCGCGTACACCACGTCCATGGCGGTGACGGTCTTCCGCTTGGCGTGCTCAGTGTAGGTGACTGCGTCTCTGATCACGTTCTCCAGGAAGACCTTCAACACGCCGCGAGTCTCCTCGTAGATCAGACCGGAGATACGCTTGACACCGCCACGGCGAGCCAAACGGCGAATGGCCGGTTTGGTGATGCCCTGGATGTTATCGCGGAGCACTTTACGGTGACGCTTGGCGCCTCCTTTTCCCAGACCTTTGCCGCCTTTTCCTCGGCCGGACATCGTCGCTCTTTCTTCGTCTTCTACAGTCGCACAACAGTCGGAGTAAACAGCATGGCGCGCTGTGAGAGCTGAGGCTTATGTACACAGCACGCGGACCTAGTTGAACGCAGCCTGTTTGCTGCTGGCGGCGTGCCAAAATTACCATACGCGGAACTAATAGCAAAGAATGGACGTTTTGGGTTTTCATTTTGTGGAAAACGGGAGAAACTACGCTGTCCTCGACTTTTATATTCGTAGTTATTTTATTTTTTGTACAGAAAACAACTTTGAATCCATTTCCACACAGTGCCAATACTGTTAACAAGCTAGCACTGACGTTAGTACAGGCTGTTAGCACCACGAATACGGGCCAGATCATCACTTCTTTATTCTGTAAATATACCACAAGCAGATTAAAACACCGTAAAGAGGAAAGGTGCTCTTTTATTGTGTTGTGGGCGGCTCTTATAAGAGCCTTTTTGGGAAAGTGTTGGGTCCGTCACTGTGGCGTTCTCACTTGGAGCTGGTGTACTTTGTCACTGCTTTGGTGCCCTCGGACACGGCGTGCTTGGCCAGCTCTCCAGGCAGCAGGAGGCGCACGGCAGTCTGGATCTCCCGGGAGGTGATCGTGGAGCGCTTGTTGTAGTGAGCCAGGCGGGACGACTCTCCGGCAATCCGCTCAAAAATGTCATTGACGAAAGAGTTCATGATGCTCATGGCCTTGGAAGAGATGCCTGTGTCTGGGTGAACCTGCTTCAGGACTTTGTACACGTAGATGGCATAGCTCTCCTTGCGGGACTTCTTGCGTTTTTTGCCCCCTTTCCCCGCTGTTTTGGTCACCGCCTTCTTCGAGCCTTTCTTCGGCGCGGCTTTAGCTGGCTCCGGCATCGTGAGAAATAAGTATTGGTCCACAAACAGAACAACAAACAGCACATGACACACACAGGGCAGATGTGTATATATACAAAACGTATGCAAATTTGGTAGCGGTGCCGCTCCGGCGCTCTGATTGGCTGGAATTCTCGCCCCGGTTCCCATTGGCTGGTTGTAGACGTCAGCATTCTGCTGCCTTGTCCTATTGCAGGAAACGACTGTAGTAGTATTTTTTTCCTTTCTCCAAACCGGTTTGAACCGGATTGAGGAACAAAGACGCATGAAGTCGGGTCATGCTAAACTGATGATACACAGAAATCCACATTTATTCAACAAGATGCTTTATTTTTATGACATTTGATTGCATTGACATAAACATCTTACACTTTACTGTGCGCTCTTTAAACAGACGGTTCTTTAGTAAAGGCACTGGTTCTATACAGAACCACTTGCATGCTTACATGGCTCTCTGCATGGTGAAACGGTTCTTTAGATTGATGGAGAATGTGTTGTATTTGGTTCTACATAGCAGCAAACAGGGTTCTGCTATTGGTGTCAAGCTTGTAACAACAGCAGAACCCTTTTTGGTTCTACACAAACCATTTTTTTTTTATACAGAACTGCATACAACACATTCTCCATCTATCCGAAGAACCATTTCACCATTCAAAGAACCATGCAAATGCTTCTTTGAGTGTTTGTGATCCTGTATAGAACCACTGCCCTTACTAAAGGACCCTTGAAGAACCTTTTTTTTTTTTTTTGAAGAGTGTAGGCTTAGTCAGTCTGCATTGGAATGCATGGTAACACTGCTCGCTTGTATTTAATCATTCACCTAATATATTATTTACTGATTTTGTGAGTGAAATGATTCAGAACAATGGTTAAAAGATATATCTGGCCTGTTAGTACAAAATATATTCTTCCAGCATGCTCACTGCATAGATATTTTTAGAGCTTTATAACAAAAAAAACAGAAAAAAACAGATGGGACGGAGCGTTTGTAAACATCCACTGCAGTCCGGTAAGTGCAGACATCGCAACCCAGACCTCCAGACATCAACACGCACCTCCAGACATCAACTTTCGTCTGTCATCAGTGACTAGAAAGGAGAACAAGGAGTATCTGTAAGCTTTCATACTATCAAGCAGACCTGGCTTAATTTTTCTATGGGCTACAATACAATGAGGCCTGCAGTGCAACACTAATAGATAAAAGATATGGACTGAATTTGCATAGACTTTAATAAATGCCATTGGCTTTGCTCTAACACTGCTTTAGAATGGCATAGTAATGATGTAGTCCTAATACCCAAGACTGGGCAGAACAAAGGCACCATGAAAACCTTTTGTGTGCACATGCACAGGCGCACACCCACCCTGTATTCCCCCTCCTCGCTCCCGGGCTCTGGACGTCGCCACGTCTGATTGGCCAGGATTTTCAAAACGACCAATCCGAAGGCAACGATGACGACACCCAGTGAATTGGCCAGTACTGCCTCCGGTGGCAGCTGGGCGTAAGGCACTGTCCCATTGGTGTTCTTCTTTCTAGGGGAAGAGACCAATAGCAGAAGAAACTTTGCATTTGTGTGGGGAAACAAAGACATTATAGCAGCTTTCATTCTAAATGTGTCTCTTCTGCTCAGTCTCACTTCCCCTTTTCACTTTTTTTTATTTTTATATTCAGCCAGACCCGAGCGCGGCAAACATAGGGAAAGTGTGCACCGTTACCTCGTTAGATGAGCTAACTTCAGACTGCCGCCAGTCTTCGGCCTTTAAATAGCATTCAGTGATCCATTAAGCTTTCTCTGCCAGCAGTGCCTTGTGGGCCAAGGGTTGAAAACACTTCATATGCTTTGCGTGAACTGACACTGTGCTTTTAAATGTGCTTAAATGGCCCACTAGGGATCTCAGCCTCACTGCTGTGATTTCTTAAAAGGCCCACTTAAAACCCAGTTTTCCTCACTTTTTTTGAAATGAGTTCAATGCAGTAGGCAAAGTTTTAAAAACATACTATTCACTACCCAGTCCATATATTGCTGCTGTTGGAACAAAACCTTGTATCTCTAAAATGTAAAATTACAGGAGAAGAAAAAACCTACTTTACTTTTAATGTAAGTCAATGGAACCAGATTTTTTTCCAAGTCTTTTTGGGCTGTTTGTTTTGGTCCATTCATCATGAAATTTACAAACAATGTGAAGGACAACAGGCATGTTCAAATTATGTCAAAAACTGAAAAATGACAAAAAATGGAGATTTTTTCCTCAATTCACTGTATCTTTGACGTCACAAAAAGACATATTTACATATATCCGCCTCCTACAGCAGTTTAGCCCTGCCCATTTATGTTGAAGTTATAAGGAGTGTTTCAGAGTGCTTTTTTAATGTGGTACAACACAGGACAGCCAATCAGAACAGAGCTTATTTGCATATGTCAGTCTTAAAGGAGCAGTAACACAAACAGCCTGTTTAATTCTAAAGGGGTAAAGAGAGTTTGTAAAATGGTCTCTTAGAAATGAATTATGAAATAGGTGGAGAAAAAATAAAATACTATAAAAATGTAGGATATGAGCCCTCTTTAAAGGAAATTAACACAGTTTAATTTTAATATGTCCATAGTTAAAGGAAATAGTTTAATGAAAACAGTCAGTTCTGATGGCACAATCTGATTGAGAAACGTTCTAGTTGTGCTGATATTTGTGATAACAGCACTTTTTTCCTCCACAGTAACTGTATCATTCCGCTGCCCATCTGGTCACATTTTAGAGAAGAATTTGACCACAAGCCTGATGTTGATCCTAAGCAAACGCTTCGGTCAGCAGCTGTGATGGTGGAATAACTAAACAAACTGGAATTAGCCATAAATGAACTGAATGCAATACAGCAAACAACATGAACTGTTGCGGATAAATGCTTTACAGACTGACTGGAACAAAACCACATTCAGGTCAAATCTGACCCTGATATTGTGACAGTTTAAAAGAGGACTATTTTCTTGGTGGAAGTATTTGTCAGTATTAAAGCACATTTGATGCAATGTTCAAGACTTATTTGCTTTCCTTTTGTCTTTATTTTATAAAAGCAATACAACACTTGAGGCTGTGTGCTAACGCGAATGTAATCATGGCTCTGATGAACTACCATACTCACCTTCAGCTTGTGACCGAATCACAGCCATGACGTTCACAATAACACTCAACCTCAGGTGTTCTACTGCTTAAATCAAATTTACACAATTTTACCCCAAATGTAGACGATCAGCTAAAATATTTTGTAACCACCAATTAGCATCAAATTTCATGTTTAAATCATGACACACTTGCCTCAAACTGTGTTTAGCTCTTAAATAATCCATACCAGACTTGCTTATGTGGTTTCTAACTCTGTGTATCTATGGAAATGGATTAACGTAGACAAATTCCAGGCGTCAAGATAAATGCCACTACTGTTTTTAGTTATGTGATGTACTTTTGTTGTTTTCATGCAAGTCTGTGATGATTGTGGCACAAAATTCACAGTTCAAACTCATGAAATCCTAACAGTAGGACTATAGGCCCTTTTCACAAGAAACGGAAGTGGGTACTGCTGGGTAAAACAAGTTCTGCTATTGCCTTTCGGACAGTTACTGACCTCAGAAATACAGGCATTCATTTCACTTCAGCCACCACAGAAAGGTGTGTCACTTTATCTTTGTCGAAGTTGCCAAGATTGAAATTCGAGGATGTGTCCAGAATTGTTAGAGGATCAAACACACAACAATGCAGGAGTCCAAACTAAATAAAAGATGTAAATGATTCATGGAAAAAACTCCTTTGTGTACAATAACATCAGTTAACGTCTACAGAGTGATAAATCAATGGACAGGTGAAAATAACTGTAATCAAAATGCTAGATAAGCCATATTAGCTGGAGATACTGAAACAGCTCGCTAACAATAAACTGGCAGAAAGCTAAACACTTGCCAGGTCGTCAGGGGGGTCCGTAGTGCCACTGTAGATGTTTTCTTATTTGCATTTATAAGCACTCAGCTGGTTCCCTGATATGTTTAATCTGCATTGATATAATTCCTGATATTCCACCTTAAATGGTGCAGCAGTTACATTCAGGCGGCTCAGGCACCATTTAAGGTGGAACCACGAACACTGACTCTCCGCCGAGCGTTCACTCTTTCAGCTGCTGATCATTTTTGAGGGAGAAAATGAAAACTGTTCCACTGAAAGCAGCTGTAGCAGCAACTTTAAAGCACAAACTACATTCAGTGTAATGTCAGTTCGCAGCAGTGAAATGCAGACAGAGGTTCTTTTACTCCGTATGACAAAGTTTATTCCTTTATTAATTGCACAAACTTGTTTTCCTCTGCTCATCATCAGCTGACAAACCACTGAAACTGAGATGAGGCTGTTTTTGCTTCAAGCTCTAATACTTGAGTCAACTGTAGACGCTGTACTCGTCATTGTTGTTATCGTAATTGCTTTAGCGGAAGCAGCGTTACCCTGCAACGAGCACTTCCAGCAGGAAAAATGCAGAATTGTGAAAAGGACCTACTACTGGTGTGTAATAGCACATGATGAAAGGATGTAATCAAACCTACAGTAATGCAGAAACAAAGCTGGGGAAATACCTACAGTAAAGGTTTACTTCCTTTTAAAATGTCACAGCAAGCCTTGTGACTGGTCATGTGACTTAGCTGGAAGCCAGCACTGTGTGACTAGCAAAACAAAACCCTTTGTTTATTTAATTTCCAGTCAAAAAGGCCATCAAGTACAGGTTATTCACTTCACAGCATAAGGAGAAAAAACAGGAAACATATTTAACAGAAAATTGGTCTCTAACTTCTGAACACTAATGTATATTTCAAATTCAAAAATATTCTGAGATTGCCACTGAAATCAAGATGTCCATTCCGTCTAATTTTGATATGAGCGTGTCCATAAGAGTTAATGAACGAATATTCGGTTAACTGCAGGGACCTTCTCAGTCACATCTTTAACAACATGTCCTTGGCAACATGCTAACATTAAGACACTTGTGTTTCGTAGTGTAATAAGCTCCCTGGAAAAAAATTTAGTCAACTTGCGTGTTTAAGGTGGTGACTAATTTTTTTGTCCATTGAGCTTAGGAATAAAAATCATCTTGCTTTCAGGCTTCTAGAAGTTAACGCAGGTCCTGCATAGCCAATTTCTGAAAGAACGCTTATTCACAAGCCATGAAACACGTCAGCAGTCCCTGTCCGTTAGTTTAGTCTTTCGGCCACAATTCTGATGAGAATTTCCTGTAGACTGGGATTTTTGCTACTGCTGGTCGACTCGTATGGCGGTACGCTTCAAAACACCTGCAAATTTCCTTCACGCTGTGCCCTTTGGCTCACCCAAATGCAATCAATCCTTTCTGCCAGTCATTAACATCTGCTTTACGACCCATTTTCCACACAACGAATGAGACATTCACTGCACTGTACCACCTCTTGTCAATCTATGTATTCCGTCACACACCCCGCAAGTATTTATAGTCCGATCATCCTTGTGCAACGCCATCTGCAGGAGACTGAAGTTACTACCACCTTAAACATGCAAGGTTTCAATTTTTTTGTCCGGGGAGCTTATAATATACTTACAAATATGAATCCTGTTAAAAAAAAATGGCATTTTCACTATACTGACGGTCTGTATATTTTCTCTTTCTTCCTGTGATGAAATGTGATGAATATCCCATCCCAGGTGGTTTCAGTATTTTAATACTAGCACCTCAAACCGAGTGCCCAGATGAACCCTACTATGAAATAACTACAACAAATTCACGGTCTAGTAGACGGGTGTTTTCAGGTAATGCGGTGTAATAACATGGCTCGGCTTCGTTTTCACTTACAGAACAAAAAGCAGCTTCTCGTTGATCCCTGAGATGCAGGAAACTATGCTGAGACCAGGATGATGGCCCCCATCCACACGTGGGTGGGCTTGATTAAGACACGCAAAGCCATTGGTGACCATGGTAGGAGGAACGTTCCAAAACCTGCAGCCCACTAAACATAGAAGCAAACAACAGACACATAAATATAAATTAGCATCTTTATTTTAGTGATTCAGGTCTAAAGCATTTGATTAATAGTAAAAGAAGCTTATGTAGTTTTACTGTGTATTTGCGATGATGATAGATGAGTTCTGGACATTATTTTGTTGGATTGGGTCAGATTTGGACAGAATTTTGTAGTATCAGTTGTATTTATCAGATTCTGAGAGTTTTTTGTTGTACTCTAGTCAGTTCTGGACAGATTTTTTGGATCAGGTTAGTTTGGGCAGAATTTTATTGGAACGGGTGAGTTTTGGACAGATTTTTTTTTGGATCAGGTCAGATTTGGACAGGTTGTTTTTGGATCGATCTGATCGGGTCACATTCTGAGACATTTTTATTGTACTCTGGTCAGTTTTGGACCGGGTCAAATTTGGACTCAATTTTGTAGGATCGGGTCACATTCTGAGAGATTCTTGTTGTATTCTGGGGAGTTTTGGACAAATTTTTGGATCAGGTCAGATTCAGACAGAACTTTGTCGGATCAGATCAGTTTCCAATTTTTTAACGTGGTTCAAATCTGGTTTGGATACAATTTTGTCAGCCTTGGGTTGGGTTTGGACTCAAAACACGATGCTGTGTTTCAGGTTGGGTCGGGCTCAGATAGAAAGTTCTTGGGCTGTATTCAGGTTTGGACCAAAACTTCAGGCCCGATTAAAGCTCTAGTACTGATCTATGGTGTTTACTAGAAATGATGAGTGCCCTGTGAGAGACTGTGATGCTCTCAAAAGCACAGGAATTTCATTTTATGATTCCAGCACTAAGCACATGTTCTCATTGGGCAGGTTTGATTAGACTAAAATGAACCCTGGTCGGATTCCTATGTGCGAGTGTGAACACTGAACACTGAACATTTGAATTGTGGTGCACCAAGTAAGCAGACTGAGGAGACTGGTTTTGGTCTGTTTCCAAACACGACCACAAATGTTCAATACACCACTAGGATTCTTTATTATAGGTGTTTTTAACATATCACGTTACATCTTAATTACAATAATCACATTATGAAATTTTGTCCATATTACGCAGTAATAACTGATACGTACCTGTGCAGCGAACAGGGCGGTGGTGACGATTCCCACCCAGCTGTGGATCGAGTAGAGGTTTGGAGTGTTGTTAGCGTTGTGGAAGTCAAACACCGCACACAGTCCCAACACGGCGAAGAGCAGTGACAGCAGCAGCAGGCCGGCGTGCAGAAGCTTCCATGGCTGCTTATTCTGACCCCAGGTCAGCGGGATTCGGTACACCACGGCCGCTAGGAGAGCAGGAAACAAAGCAGAGGAATTTATTTGACTGATTTATTAAATGAGTGACAGATATTTATTGACGAATGACGAGTCCTGTCCCACTGATTTAGTTTGTGTTTTGATTTGTTCACTTATCTGCATGTGCTCCATCTACAAGAAAAACTAGTGATGCACTGAAATTTCAGCCACTGAAAAAGTTCAGCTTAAATGGTCAAAGTGTGGCTTTCTACAAACAGAAGTTGTACAATGAGAATTAATCTAAATAATTCAAATGAGAAATAGTGATCAAAACCACGTTTCTTCTCTTCGTTCTCCTGCTCTGGTCAGTCCAGATGCATTCAAACAGTTTGAGCAGCAGCAGATCAACAGTGAAACTCAAACATGGTCTATATGGTTCTGCACACTCCTTAACTTGCTAGCATTGACTGACTTAATGAAATTCTTGAATGAATAACACTCCACATCTTTTGGTAATAATTCTCTTTTTGAAAGTTGTTACTGCAAGAAGACGCATTAGAACCTACCAGTGTGAATTTAGCTTTTTATTCACTTTAAATGACGCACGCTAAATTGCCCCCTACTGGAGAAACTTCAGACTGCTAAACGAGAGTTCCAAAGCCATGTCCACAAGCTTTACATATTAAAAAAATGAGGCATTTTCCATACATTTGAGGAAACTTAGATTTGCAGAATTTTATCACATAACATTACAATGTTAAACAAACTACACTTTGTGTTTAATAGCTAGATGTTAATTTCATGATTATAGATTATAGTTCGATTTTATGTTAATTTTCATATGTATGTACACATCATATGTGTAATATGGGTATGACTTTATGAGCTACACATTTTTATTAGTTTCTATGGTGAATTACCTGTCCTGGGATCTTCAATTGTAAATATTTAAATAAAGGCAAAACAAACAAAAAATCAAAAGCTATATTTGTAAACTGAGCCTAGAAACGGGACTAGTTTACATTAGAGAAATATTTGTAGTACTTTGTTACCAGTGTAATGGGGCTATGGTTACTAAAACAAGACTAGGCAAGCTTAGTTTTGCCGGACTCTCAGGCCGCACGCTCTCTCCTCTGCAACTTTTGGTAACTTTTGGGTGAGGCAGCCACTTTAAAAGTGAGGGGGCACAGTTGTCAGTACATGACACCCCTCAAACCCCACACCCCCCAGTTGTTCCTTTCTTCAATTGGACGAATGGCGGTTGACGTACTGAGGGTAGGTGCGTTTCAACAAAGTGTGTCAGTCAGTCAGTCAGTCAGTCAGTCAGTGAAAATGCTTCTTGCAAAAACAAGAACCGTTGCTCCAGTTTTGGAAAGCTACATGAAACTTGATAAAAGAAGGCTGGATAAGACATTCTCTCAGTCCATCTTATGCCAACACCCGCACTGTTACAATGTAGCTGTTCGGTTTCGAGTTCTCATATTATAGTCATGTATTTTAAATGTTTATTTGTGAAATTCAGCAACTGCCCACTGGCCTTCACTGTGAGTGAGTGTTAAGTCAGCAAGTTTTTCTCAGTTGCTTTCTAAATACAGAGAACTGCTTTCATTGTTATTACCGTATAAAGGGACAACCATAAGCACCTACTACATCATTCACGTTCTGAACCTTTTTTCAGTGCTATCTGCAAACTCTCGATAAAACCTTCCTGTGTTAAATTACAGCATTTTTCTGTTTTTGTTTTTCTTATTATACAGTGTCTGCTTTTCTGACTATTTACGGCCGTTTTTAGTGTCTTACTCGGTTTTTTGTTTCCTCTCTGCTGCTGCTCTGTGGTTCTATTGGTTTTATTGTTCCCTGTTTGTCTAGTTTTACTGTTTCTGGGTGCACAGACTGTGATCTCCATACAAAGCGTCTCATCTGTGTAAATCACATCTCTACACAGTTTCCTCTAAAGCCCTTACCGTTCCCATAAAGCACCACCAGCCCCATCACCATCAGGACAGGGTGCCAATTGAACTGCTTGGCTCCGTGGTCCCATGCAAAGCCCCCGCGGTAGCTGGCGTTCCAGTGGACCACCAGCACCACGCACACCACACTCAGCACCAGACACAGCAGGTAGGCTGCATAAAAAGCCACGGTGGCTTTCATCACGACGACCTGGGAAAAAATACAAAGGAAGAAAGACAGTTTAAAAGATTTATTTTGTAACAATGTGGTAAAATTGACAGAAACATCTTATGGCTAGTAGAGGAAAAGTTTGTGAAGGGACATTAAAGTGGCCTGACATGGCCGTTGATATGCTTTACCAGGTGGTTGCTAAGATGTTGCTAGGCCATTGTGGTATCCCAGGTGGTTGCTAAGGTGTTGCTAGACCTATGTGATTGCATCCCTTGTGGTTGCTATGCTGTTGCCAGACAATTGCTATGATATCCCAGGTGATTGCTAAGGTGTTGCTAAGCCCTTGTTATTGTAAGACCCGGTGATTGCTAAGATGTTGCTAGGCAATTGCTATGATATCCCAGGTGATTGCTAAGGTGTTGCTTAGCCCTTGTTATTGCAAGACCCAGTGATTGTTAAGGTGTTGCTAGGCCATTGATATAAGATTCTAGGAGGTTCCTAAGGTGTTGCTAGGCCATTGTTATGGCATCCCTAGTGGTTGCTATGCTGTTGCAAGGCCACTGCTATAAAATCCCAGGTGGTTGCTAAGGTGTTGTGAGGCCCTGTCATGGAATCCTTTGTGGTTGCTATGTTGTTCCTAGGCAATTGCTATGATATCCCAGGTGGTTGCTAAAAAGTTCTACTATGTACTACATCCTTTGTGACATCATTTGTAGTAGTTACATTAGACTTTTCTCAACATTTGTGTTTCAACCAACACTGTACGAGAACCGTCTGAGTGCTCAGTCCCAAAAGCACATGTGCACTATTCTTGCATTGGCTCTACAATTGTGCAAAGTTTAGTTATAAAACAGTGCAAAAAAAGCATAAAATAATTTTAAAAAACAGTAAAATCCTACTAACATCCTACTGGAGCTGGAGTACCAGGAAAGATCGAGTGATGTAATTTGTGTGTGATTTCCCTGGCTAATTCTGGCTGGATCTGTGTAATTTCCCCAAATTACACCAAACAGCCCAAACGGAATTGAAACATCATGGAAATAGAATCAGACAGTCAAATCCCACACAGACTACAATATCTGACCTCCTCTGGTGAAGTAATCCAGCTCCCATAGGAAAAATACAACCTTATTCTTGACATGAACGGTCATATTTGAACTAATGTAAATAATAACATTTATAATGTTTTACTTATTTAGCAACTCTCACAAATGTAAACTTTACAATGCCCCCCCCAAAAAAAAAGTCAAAAAGTCATTGAAATCATTTTAAAAAAGTATTACAATAACCTCTGAAACTGTTTCACAACTGATTCACAACAAAAAGTTTAAAGGAAAATGCACATGGAAACAAGACCGAAAGATAGTAGGCTATGATGAAGTCCACTTAACTGGCATAAAAACGGTACTCAAGTTAAAGTTCAGTGTAATATATAAATTTCATACATATCTATCTCAAATTTACGTGTTAATTTATGTATTGTATATTATGCATCATTTGTTATATACAGATAATAATGCTTCTAAGAGCAAACCGCTTACCTCACTGAAAGGCTCAAGAGCACCACTAACCCCTTCTCCTTTCGCAGTGGAGATATATCTGAGCGTATGTTTTGACTGTCTAAATGTAAAAACATGTGAGGCTGGTGGTTCCTCTTTTTGGTGACATCATGCACCCTATGGTAATTAAAGGGTAATTCCACCAATTTTTCAAAATTTCCACATTATGAATTGGCTAAGTAGAGTGGTGCTAATAATCAGATGCTTGAAGAGTTCAATGCTTCTCAAAGGTCCCTGACATGAAATGGTTATGAATACACTGCCTGATGTCTGAGTTATTATTTTACGTTTTTTTTTTTGTTTGTTTGTTTTTTTTGGTATATGCAGGGTGTTAGAGGGTAAAATAGTCCCCCCAATTTTAAGATTTATCACTATTTTACCATTCATAAATACTCAGGACAGTTTTGCTATAGTGTCCCAGGTGGTTGCTAAGGTGTTTTTAAGATGCGATGATGATTATGGATATATATATATATATATATATATATATATATATATATATATATATATATATATATATAAATATACACATACACATGTGTGTTACTATAATGTGTAGAATGTGTTTGTGCTGTAGATGTTCAGATGTCCTGTTCCACTTAGAATGGCTTTGTCTACTTAACTATTGAGTGATTCAGACATTTTTTGAAATATTGGTGGAGTTCCCCTTTAAGAAAAAAAATCCCCTCCGTCCTGGTTTCACTTCTTCTTTTCCGCAGTCACTAAAGCATCTTTCTCACTTTCATATCTGGGTCTAAGCAGGTGTTACACTGACACAAGCCTTTCAGTGCAACTCATTGATTTTAACATGTATAAACTGCACAACTGTCTGCTGATCCTTTTCGAGAGCGATCGTACGGAATAATCACCACGTCGCCTTATGGCCTCTGTAAGATCCTGCACCCAATAATCAAACTTTTTTAAGCCTCTTCAGGACTTAAACCGGCTAAAACCTGTGACCCGGAGTCTCTACGTTAACCTAGTGCTGTTCACGCTGCTCGTATGAATGAAGTCTGAATGACAGCTCAGGTCAGCTCCGCTCAGCTCCGCGTCCTCCTTCCTGTTTACATCTCTGTAACTTCACTATATAAACATAACCGAGCTCGGAGACCGCAAACCATCAAATCAAAACACTTAAAGCATTTACACCTCGTAAAACGTGTAAAACCTCGCCAGGGTGTGTAAAAACGCACCTTCGGACTTTCCTCAGCGCAGAGAAGTCGACATTGTTGTTTACCTACTTAACCTATTTCCTGACTGCGGCCCGCGGTGCGACATGGGCAATGTAGTTTACTGTTCGTGTCCGATAAAAGACTACAGATAAAGTTAGAGAAAATGTGTTAAAAATGAAATATAATTATATTAAAAGAAAGCTAATTAAAATGAACCTGAATTAGCGGCTGGGCCACGTAGCGGTTACTATGGAAAAAAAATAAGAAAAAAAAATAGTAATAAATAAAATTCTATATAATTCCAATAAATCTTTTTACTCGGTGACCCTTTTGATCTAGTTTTCTTAGAAGTTCTTAAACATTAAACACCGGAGTACGCTGTAATTTCGTTGTTTGTCCGTTGAATCCACTAACGAGCATGGGATTGTATTACAATATTCTAATACAGCAGCGCCCTCTGGCGGCGTGAGGCGGTAACGACAGCAAAGCTCTAACATCAGCAGTGGCCTGTTTTTCTGGAGGCTGGAGATGGAATAAATACTACTACCACCACCACCACTACTAGTACTAATAATAGTAGTAATAATAGATAATAATAATAATACAGGATTTTGTAATAAATCTGGTCATGACAGATTGCAAAACAAAGTCACTGAAACATCTCACTAAAAACACAATCGATCCCCTTTTTATAAAATCTAAATTAATAAACAAATGAATCGTTTGATCTTAGCAAAAAATAACTTTATTTGTGCTTCAAATATACATGTGCTGAGCAATAAGGCACAAAAACATTTTAATACTGTAACAAAGGGGCATGTGCAGCAAATATAAGCAATTTTACATAATTTAATCAGAATCAATTCAAACTAACTCACAGTTGGTCAGAACTTCGGGTGAGTTTTCACATCACTGACTAATAACAATAGTTACTGGTAAAGAAGTCAGTAGATCATTCAGTCGGCTGGTTTACGTTCAGTACATCTACGTCAACGTTTGTTCTGATCAGCTGACTTACATTCAAGAAAAGAACAGTGTACAAAATAATAAATACTTAAATTACTATCTGCTTTTCAAATAAGGCCACAGTGCTCGACCAGACGAAATAAACACATTTAAATTATTTGGAAAAAAATCCATAGTAATGCAATATGGCAATACACCCCCCCACCCCAAAAAAAGTCTTCATTCATCTTCGTATGTGTAATAAGCGTTACTGATGGCTCTGGCGATGATGTTTTCTGCAGACAGTCTCTGGTTGAGTCTCAGCAGCGCCTCGATAAGCGTGTTGAAATCCGCCTTCATCCCTTCTTTCTCCATCCACACCTTCAGCAGCTGGTAGACTCGCTCCGCCACCGTCAGAGACTCTGCGTTCGTGATGGCGTTGTCGCTGAGTCCGAGGAGCCTGAAGAATCGGTTGTGATAGTGGACGTCTATCTCTTCGAAGAGGTCGAAGCTCTTCTTCAGCGATTCATCCCCTTCAGAAAAGAGATGATAAGTGATTGATAAGTGACTGTCCATGACTGCTGATACAGACGATAAGAAATACAAGAATGAGGAAAGAAGCCTACCGTTCAAAGGAATGAGTCTTCTTAGCTTTTCATTGTCCTAATGAGAGAGAGAGAGAGAGAAACACATGAACACAAACACTTTCATCCTGACAGAAACGTGTAAAGCGATTCTTCAATCAGCCACCAGATGGTGCTGCTGCACCGTTTATACCACATTTGCCTATCAATGTCTCAACTGTAATAATTCTAAGTTTCCACTATACACACATAATTGACTTATTTAAAATGTACAATTTTGTAGTAAACAAGATCACAAATATAGTCTTGTGCAAAAGTTTGTGCACCCCTGGTCAAACTACATGTTTTGCTGGATTAAGTAAACACATTCTCACCCACCTTGCGTTTCCACTCACTGGCCACTTCATTAGAAACACCCAGCTTGTGCTTCCACTCACTGGCCACTTTATTAGAAACACCCACCTTGTACTTCCACTCACTGGCCACTTCATTAGAAACACCCACCTTGTACTTCCACTCACTGGCCACTTTATTAGAAACACCCACCTTGTGCTTCCACTCACTGGCCACTTTATCAGAAACACCCACCTTGTGCTTCCACTCACTGGCCACTTTATTAGAAACACCCACCTTCTACTTCCACTCACTGGCCACTTTATTAGAAACACCCACCTTGTACTTCCACTCACTGGCCACTTTATTCGAAACACCCACCTTGTACTTCCACTCACTGGCCACTTTATTCGAAACACCCACCTTCTACTTCCACTCACTGGCCACTTCATTAGAAACACCCAGCTTGTACTTCCACTCACTGGCCACTTTATTAGAAACACCCAGCTTGTGCTTCCACTCACTGGCCACTTTATTAGAAACACCCACCTTGTACTTCCACTCACTGGCCACGTTATTAGAAACGGTGGTCCACCACCCAAAAATATCCAGCCAAGAGTGGCTCTGTGGTCAGAAACTGACCACTGATGAAGAGATCCATTTCTAATAAAGTGGCCAGGGAGTCCAACATTACCTCACATTTTCATCTACAGTTGTCACCAGGATTCGAACCACATGTTGGTGTAGTGAGTAGATTTGAGAATAACATGAGGCAACAAACAGCAGAGCAGGCCAGACTGAGTGAGCAGCAGATTAGATCACAGATCAGAGAGTAAAGCACAGACAAGCAGGCAGAACAGTGGTGCGGGTGTTAAGACAAAGCTTGGCAGGACGCTCTAAACTGAGTCATTAATTCTGCTCCTGGAGGGCCAGAGTTCAGCACAGTCTGGTGACGTCACTGTGCAAACACACCTGTTTCAATGTAACAGTAAGTCACCAGGATTAGTAGCTTGTTTGTGCAAGGAAATCACTAAACTGTGCTGAACCCCAGCCTTACAGCCCCAGAATTCATGACTCCTGATCTAAACAAACATTTAGAGTGAACATACTTTTATAATATGCACACCAGAAATGTCCGTTCTTGCTCTTGTGTAATCTGTGGTGATCAGTGGTGCATCAAACCTCCCAGAAAAGTGCTCTCTTTAGGCCTTTCACATGCAAAGGACTACAACTAGGAGCTAAACTTTTCCACAAAGCAGGATTTCACTATAGACTTGACTGCAGGCTTTAAAGCGGAACTCCATTGATGTTTCCAAATTTCTGCATAATTAAATGGTTGAGATGTAAACAGAGTCATTCAGAGTGGTTTGGTGTGAAGCACTTCGTTTTATAGAAACTTACAGAGTCAGAATTGTTCACAGTGGTGGTGATAGGAACCAGACGTCCACCTCTAAAAGCTCCCTCACAGAAAGTTACTACATGAAATGGTTATGAATTCACTGCCTGATGTCTGAGACACTGTTTTATGGTAGATTTGAGATACAATTTAAGCCTTTTTTTTAAATCCATTCATGGTGGAGGGATACATGCAGGGTGTTCTGAGGCAAAATAGTCCCCAAGGAAAACTTACTTTTTCAGTTTTATCACTATTTCACCATCATCATTACATATAAAAACTCGTGTAGGTTCACTGCTGGTTTTGGATAGTAAATAAATTGGCTATATTTGTGTTGTAGTCATGGCGACCCCTGGTTCCTCTCACCACCACTGTAAAGAAATGAGTCTTCACAATCAACCATTTCACACCAAACCACTCTGAATGGCTCTGTTTACATCTTAGTGCAATCTGTGAATTGAATTCATGTGATACAGTCACACACTTCAAACATCTGGACTCCAGAGTGAATCAGTTTCAAGTAAACAGAATTTTTCAAATACAGTACTGCATAATACGGATGCGGCAGACAGAGAGTTCCTTTAATTTCTCTGACTAGACTGAGTCCTGCTTTGTGGAATGTCCCTCAGCGCTCACTGCGAGATGCTTGATGCACACTGAGACTCTCACTCTCACCGGAGCGGGAGGCGGGCGGGACAGTGCTGGGCTGTAGCGGGCGGGGCAGGGCTCGCTGGGCTGGACGCACACACACAGGCTGTTTTGGGAGGAGGTGGTGGTGGTGGGGAGGCTGTCCCCCAGCCCCCGGTCCTCTTCCTCCACCAAATCCACACAGACAGGGGTCCAGGCACCCACCGGCTGACTCGGGCTTTGGACGATGAAGGGCTGGAGCGGCACTCCGTCCTCCAGCGCCTCGTTCAGTCCGTTCTGTCTCATCTCCATAGAGTCGCTGCTGCTTTTCTACAACACATACACAGCGAGCGATGAAAGTAAAGGCCTTTACTTAATGAACACGATTCACTTGGACGATAGTAAATGAATTTAAGCACCAAAAACTCACTGACCAATCGCTGCCTGATAACAGACATTGTTTTATAATAGCTTTGAGAAGATTTTTGAAACATAGTTTAAAATCCATTCAGGTACATACAGGGGGCAAAATAGTCCCCAAAGAAAACTTTTCACCACTATTTTACCATCATCAGCTTTACATATACAAATGCATGCAGGTTTCATTGGTTGTTTTAGTAAATATAATAGCTATATAGAAATCTGAGTCACATCACACCACTCTGAATGAGCTTTCTTAGCTACTGCATTATGCAGACATTTTGGAATCCCCCTTTAAAATCATGCGAATGTCAGTAACTGCCTCTCCCATGGCGAAATGATCAGCATTTGAATGCTCGTGCTCTTAATGAGTGATTCTGCACTTTTGCTAAATTTTGGAAATACATCACACGTGTGCACCAAAGCGTAACCACAAACCACAAACGTGGACTTGGAACGGGCCTACAGTTTCATTTGTGCAACAAGCCATTTCCTCTTTAATGGCACAACAAAACAGTACTGTAGTCTAACACAATCTGTTAGAATGGCTATGTACATCATAAGGACATTATAGAGCATTATAGGGTGTAAGAAATCAACAAACTGACTAAAATGCAGCTCTTTTTTCTCATAAAGTGGCTTTCATAATGTGGTTAACCTATCGTAAAACAACAGTTTCAGTTGCCGATGTTTTCTAACACCTCAGATTCACAGTCCATAACGTATCTCCAACTTCCAAAGACCTAGATTAACTTTTTTCTCAATAAATTGGTCCCATTGTAAATCACAACATGACGGGTTGATTCCACCATTAGTTCCTAATCATATTGCCAGTTAATCGAATGTGTTGGGCCTTCTTGTCCAGCTGCTGAAGTCCTAAACAAGAGGAGAGCTCCTAGACATAATTATTCAGAGTCAAGTGACTGAAGCACATGCTTTATCTCTCCGACTGTTGCCCTCACAGATAACGTTTCAAATGAATCCACTTTAAGCTGCAGTTTCAAAAAGCCGTTTGTGGAGAATAAAACCAAAGTAATAAACCAGGCATCCCATTTAAAGCCCACTTCAAACTCCTGAGCACACGGCCGAGATGTTGATCAACACAGGCACTGAGACAGTCTGAGATGAGTAAACAAGCTTTGTGGAAAATCACCATCAACCACATTTCCAAAATAGCTTCTAGTGACAGGAAACCACAACATCACAAACAGACACAGTTATTACATTGTATTATCAGCAGCATCTTTGTTCTGTGGTTCTGATTCAAATTAATTGCCTTTTTCCACTTCTCGGAGTGCTGGTATGTGTGTACAAGCACTGCTTTGGGCCATAAATGTGAAAACTCTGTCAAAAAAATAGAAAAAAAAACACTTCTACTATAATGTTAATTTACGCTAGCATCCATATGGGGTTTCTGATGGTATGTTAGCACCACGCAAACAGGTGCATCAGAACATTTTACATTTGAAGCCTGTAAAAGACATTAACGTATGTTATCTTGTATGTATCAGTTTTATGCTGACTCAGTAGAGAGTCCTGCTGCCGCTGTCTTTCATTCCGAACAACTAACTGAAACCTGGTTAGTTTGTGACTCATTCAGTCAGTGACGTATCTTGAACTTCCAGAAGACCTTTTCTGACTAAACTGCTTTCATTGTAAACCAAACCATGACTGGTTGATTCCTAATTATGTTGGTATTTAATGTAATGAGCAAGATGTTCAGTTTAGCTCCTGAAGTCTTAACCAATGGAAAAGCTTGTAGATACCAAAAAACATCCTGATTGGATCATTTTATGTCCTTTTGTTTCCAATCAAAAATGAACAATGAAATAAGAGTAGAACTATAATACCTGCAGAGTTTGAATGCATATTTATTAGTTGCCAGAAATCATTAGGCCATTAGTGAAGAACTACAAGACCCCACGGTTCAAGAAAAAAAACAACACTTCCCACCCATCCTCACAAAACACACACATTATTTCATCACTGTCCCCATTGGTATGGATAACTGACCAACGTACTAGACTCACCTTCATCAGAATTCCTCCTGGGCAGCATGAGGCCACTGAAATCAGACAAAAAAACACAGATGAAATGTGCGAATGTATGAGGTAAAGAGGCTCAAGCCAACTGTGAATAGTACCATGAATGGCCAAGATAGTCCATTTACTGTGACTGCCAATCAACTTAGACGATTTAATGCGGTTCAGGTAAGTCATTGTTGTCTTTTATCATGTTTTCTAAATATAAATGTCCATTTAGATTTATGCGTTCAGCAGACATCTTTAAAAGCGAATCATGTTGCAGAGGTAGGCAAATGCAGCATTAGGAATCTTGCCCAAGGTTGGGAACCAATGAATGATGGCGCTTGACCAGGCAGGGAACTGAACCCCAGCCTATTGTGCAGAGGGCAACACAGAGAATGCCTTCCCTCACAAAACATGAATGAAAAACAAAGAAATAGCATAGTATTGTTAACAATGTGTCACCATTACCTGTCATGCTGAAACAGGCTACTGGAGAAAGATGCCTCGCATATCGATTAAGAGGATCTGCAGATCTTTTTTTTTTTCTTGAAAACGCATCAGACTCTGCACTCGGTAGTCAGCAATGGCTAGCAGGTGATCAGACGACAGCACATGGCACACAATCTCACAAACCTTGAGGGACAATATAAGTCTCACCTGCTCTTTTACTCCATGTAGGAGCCTTCCAGTACAGGATGACCATGAGCAGCAAAATCATGAGGGAGAGCACCATAGCAGTGATGGGTCCAGCTGCATTACCAAACACAAGCACCATTACAATTACAACAACAAACTGACTTTTAATGAAATTAATACAGAAAATGATCTCGATCCATGTGTTATATAAAGTAATGTCTATGTATGTATTTGTATTTGCTTCGTTTTCACCAAGTCAGAATTGTTGACAGTGGTGGTGATAGGAACCAGACGTCTGAAGAGTTTAATGCCCCTAAAAGCTCCCTTACAGTTAACCAACCTTGTGTTATTACATGAAATGGTTATGAATACACGGCCTAAAATGTATTTTTTTGTTAGCATTTTTTCAGATTTACCACTATTTTTCCATCAAAAGCTTTACACATATAACTCAGAAGACACGTGTAGGTTCACTGGTGGTTTTGGATGGTAAATAAAATGGCTATATTGTGACCCCTGGTTCTCATCACCACCACTGTAAAGAAATCCGAATTGGTAAGTTTCTCTAAAATGGCACATTTCACATCAAACCACTCTGAATGACCACTGTTCAAGAACAAATCTGTAGAATTATGAGCCCTAGTCTTGCTGGATGATGCGGTAAGAAGGCATCTTGCGGTACCTATGAATGAACGAGCTGAGCCTTTTTTCTTTCTGCAGACTGTGTTAGAGCTGGCTGTGCAGCTCTTCTCCACCTCCTCATCTTCAGCGCATCTAGACATCAGATAAATCACTTTAATATCCACAGCCATAGATACGAGCCTTGGAGCACCTTCGCAACCTACTGGACCACTGCAACCAGTAACAGCCACTAGTGCAGGCAAGCATTTATTACAATAAACACACAATCATATAGTGAGCTGCCACTGTGCAAAAGTCAGAGACCACTTTTCATGCCATTTCCAGTCATAACAGGCATTTTGGTAAGTTTTTCAGAAGATATAAGACATCCCACTTGCGCATTTTTCCAAAATCAGAGTTAAAAGCATATTAAAAGATACAGGGAAAAAGAAATCTGCAGGCATATTTTTGCGCTCAGTCTTGTTGGTTTTGCACTTTCTGCTTCTCACGATCCAAGTAATCCAAACACATTCAGTGATGTTGAGGTCTGGGGTGGTCAGTCCATTGTTTCTGATGGATGCACAGTAAAGTTTTTCAGATCTGAAGCAAGAGTGAAGCTTGATTTTCTCCTCTCTTTCAAAAATGAAAGTTTTAGGTTTATCTGATGGGACAGTTTTGGTGGCCTACCAGGTCTTCCAAGTGGTTGTTAGGAATCATATTTTCTCTGTAGCTTTCAATCATTTTTGTTTGCCAGTTTTGGAAACTCGTCTTTTCACTCAATTTTCTTTGACTTTCTCCTTCTTCATGCAAGCAGATCATGTTCTCTAAATATCTCCTGAATAACTTATACTTAATAGCTGTTTTGATTAGAAATTAAGTATATGAAGGGTGGTGCACAGTACTGTTTACACAGCAAATACAAGAGATCATATGGAAACATACTTGCTGCATGTCTTGCAGACCTCACAGGCTTGTTCAGGCAGGCAGAAAAGACCCTTCTTACACTGGCACTGGGTGTTTTGGGTGCTGGTGCATTGCCCAACAAGGTCCTGATCTGCTAAAATCAAGTATATTAGACAGATGTCAATGAGACATATGTGAATCAAGAAGAACTGTAGGTGTACAATTATAGACTGTAGTCCATCTGCTGCTTCACAATTTGTCAGCCGCCCTCTACTCTATGTATACAGGACTCCACATAAGAGTTACTCCACATAAGCACACTTATTGGCTACTTTATTAGAAACTCCTCGCTTGGCTCCACCTTGCTGTAGCACAGTTAGAAACGGTAGCTCATCTGTTGATGCACAGTTGGTGTTAGTCATCCTCTAGCTCTTCACCAGTGGACCACAGAGTTGCGACTGGCTGGATATCTTTGGGTGCTGGGCACTGCTGTGTTAACAACGGCCCACCGCCCAAATAATATCTGGACAACAGTGATCAGAAACTGACCATGATGAATGGGGCAGATGGGGCTGGTAAACTGCAGCAACAAATGGGCTAAAGACTGTAAGCGTTCAGTGGTGCAGCTTTCAGGCCTTTAGGCCTTAAAGAGGTTACCTGAACGACAACTGGTACACGGTAAACACTTGTGCAGTCCGTTTACATGCTCAGTGTATGACCCAAAGTCACATGTCTCACAGATCCCTCTCTCAGAAGCTCTGCTACAGGACTGTTTGACGTAGGTACCTGCAACACAAATGACATCTGATCAGTCATCAATAATTTGGAGACGAATGGACTTTTCTGCATTTATAAGCACTCCAGCTGGTTTCCTGATACGTTTAACCTGCAACGGTAAACTGTCAAACGCTAAAAAGTCACAAAGCTTAAGTCAGCTTCTTGTTCAAATTCTCCCGTTCCACCTTAAATGGTGCTGCAGTTACATTCTGGCGCTTCAGGTACCATTTAAGGTGGAACGGGAAAATCTGAACAAGAAGCTGGCGAATGAGAAGCTGACTTCAGCCTCGTAAAAAGTCGAATGTTAAGAAACATTTTACAAGAAACTGTTCTACTTTTGCAAAAAAAAGTTTCCTGCTGGAGATGCGAGAAAAGCTGAGCTAAAACTTAAAGCAGAGCAAAGTAAGTCTGCGCTTTTGTTTATATATTCTATCCTATACTAGTACATCAGCACATACTGAGACATATTTACAGCCTAGATGGTAAAATGGACATAAAATGTTGTGGCTCCCAAAGTGGATTAATTTTTGTTGAAGAACAAAACGGCTCTTCTTAACATTTGGGGTTTAGCCCCACCCATTTCATGCTGAAGTTATAAGAAGTGTTTCAGTCTGGACTGCTTTTCGCATGAGGCGCAATACAGAGCAGCCAACTGAGCTCATTTACATATATCAGTCTAAATGGCACAGTAACAAAAACAACCACTTTAATTCTAGATTAAGAGAGATTGTGTCAAAATTAATTCTATAATTCTATCTATTATTGGTATATAAATCCACACCGGTTTATAAACTGATTTAATACATGAAAAAAGTGAAATGGTTAAGGTAAATAACAAAAATAATGGTGTTTGGTTTGGTTACGTCTTTCTATGATATCAATAGTGCCGATGTCAAGATAATGATTAACAAAGGACATTACTGTGTAATCCTTTCAGTATCTGTTCAAAGTCATACTCAAGGCAATATTAACGTCATAATTAGATCAAGTTAACAAGATCCCGGCAGTGTAATAAAAAAGAAAACAGTCATAAAAGTCTCTTCAACAGGTAGCCCTCCTCTAGACCAGCTTCCCCGCTGTGCATGAACAGAGTTAAGTCTCTCTCACCAGCTGGGCAGTTAAGGCAGCAGATGCCCGCGTGTGGATACTCTAGGCCTTCTCTGCAGGTAACTTCTCGTCCCGTTCTGTTCCTGCTGGCCCCTGGAGGCCAGGCTAGACCAGCTGACACACATCGCAGGATCCAAATCAGTAACGCAACCTAAACACAGAGATCCAGACAAAACACATGCATCTGTAGGCTGATTACCAAAACACAGGCTGCAGTGCATCAAACATGGAACTCAAAACGTTCTCTCAGAGTAGACGACACAGTGCCCATGTTGAAAACAGAAGACCAGTAGAACTGTTAGGATTAAAACCTGATTGTTTTAATGGGAACTGGCTTAGTGGCATTAGGATCCTTTACACTGTGATATCAACCCATCAGGAAAACACAAAGTACCATCAGTGACTACTGGATGCCACCAGAACCAACAGAAACTTTTAATGGTCTCTATGATTTTTTTTTTTTAGCAGGGGTCCTGGACAACAGTGGTTAAGAAGCGTCCAGTGAAGGACAACACATGTTGTATTACTTTTACCATAAATAAAGTAAAGGCAATGGTTGTATTCAGAACCATGAGGTCTATGTTGAACCATTTCAAGCTTAAATGGTACGTTTTTCAGATGATGGCGAACGTATTGATGGTTCTATGTAGAACCTTTTTTGAAAATGGTGATTGAGAGAGAAAGAGGCTTTGTGGTTGAGCATCGGTAGCTGTTCTTATCAATGAGAAAAATCTTCATGAAGCTAATTTTGAGATTATGATTATTGTAATTATGAATTTAAAGGGGATTTCCACTCGTTTGTCAGAATGTCTGTACAATTCAGTGGTTGACAGAAATTATCATAAAACAAACTCTCAAGCATCAGACACTGGAATTACATTACCTTTTTTACATCATAACTTCCTGTGACGGAGCTTTTAGAGGCACTAAACTCTTCAGACGTCTGGTTCCTCCACTGTGAGCAGTTCTGGCTCTAGAACAGAGCATTTCACACCAAACCACTCTGAATGACTTTGTTTGCATCCAAGGGTGTTGCCAGGCCAGTTTTAGAGGGGTCTAAGTATTATTTAGCCCCCCAAATGAATGTAGTTTGTGCCATGTTGCTGCCTACTGTCCTGTTGAAGTGTTACTCACCCCAGCTGCAGGTTAATAGCCAACTTTTACCATAAATAAAGACAACAGTTGTATTCAGAACCATGAGGTCTATTTTGACCATTTCAAGCTTAAATGGTTCTTTGCATGCTGAAATGGTTCTTCAGATTGATACTGAATGTGTTGATGGTTCTATGCAGAACCTTTTTGAAAATGATTCTAAATAGCACCAAAAATGGTTCTTCTATTGTTACAATTTCAAGCTTGTAACAACTTAAGAACCCTCCTACTTACCAGGCCGCTTGTTAGCTTCATGCTGTGGTTATAGTCCAAAGATCAGGAAGCTCAGTTGGTCAAGACTGATTATGAATATTTCTGGACGATGCCGTCGACTATCTGGTGGAATTATTGAACTTCACTCTCTCTCAGCTGGTGAACTCTCAGTAAACAACGGATGAATGCTTCAGAGGATGTGGGTTAAATGAGCTCCTCCTCTTTTCTTCACCTGCCTCATTCATGCTTTTTGCCTGACTGAGAGAGAATGAAGCTTTGTGGTTAAACCTCCTGGCTGATCTTGTTCATTGAGAAATACTAAAGCCTTCATGAAGGTACTTTTGAGACCATTTAACGGGGATTTACATGTGTAATTCAGTGGTTGACAAAAATTATCGTAAAACAATCTCTCAAGCATCGGACACTGTATTCAGAACCATTTTTGAAACCCTTCCTATCACCACCACTGTGAACAGTTCTGACTCTAGAACAGAGCATTTCACACCAAACCACTCTGAATGACTTTGTTTACATCCAGTGGCGTCACTAGTTTTAGGAGGGCCTAAGTATTAATTAGCCCCCCAAAATGAATGCACAGTAGTTCAAATCATCATTCTTCATTATTCGACAGTGCTATCATGTCCCCATATGCACAATATACATTTATATATTGTACATATGCAATATATATTTGTGCTGTCAAACTTTGTTATGTCAAATAGCCATTTTTTAATCAATTTTTCACCTGTCGCTTGTCTAAAAGTTCATGATGAACAGCCCTTCCAAAGAACCATTGGAAATGATTAGGATTGAAATTGGCTTTCTAATGGAAATTGACTCAATGACCTCCAAAAGACACCACTAAGTTTCCTGTAGAACACCTTCAGATCCCATTAGGGAACATCAAATGCGTTTAGAATCAGCCACTGGTCACCTGTTCAATCCTTAGAATCCTTAACATTCTTTGCCTTGTTATAACAGCCTTTTCAAAAGGCCAAAACACATTACAAAACCAACAGAAACACTGAATGCTTCTATGGGTTTTTTAGCAGAGAGCCTTTACTGAAGAACCCTTGAAGAACCATCTTTTTAGTTTAGCCCGATATAGTAAGCCCATGGTCAAAGCCTGTGCAATAGCAAAAGAGCTATTGAACATTCCTACTGGACAATCCTCAACTTTCTGCTTGAGTTATCAGGCTAACTGAGAGGTCTTGCTTTGTGGAAAACCCCACTGACCGGTCAGAAAAAGGGCACTTTGCATTATTCTATAGGCTGCTGTGAAGTCACCATCGACAAGCATGGACATGTTCTTAATGCACAGCAAATGTATGGGACAAGCAAACATCAGAAAACATCTCCAACTGAGCAATTTCCTAGAATTTTCTGGCTCCAACACTGACATATATTACAACAACAACACATACAGAAACAGTTTAGAGCCTCACTGCTGTTCCTGCAACTCTTTACTCGGTTTAGTTACAAAATAATCGAACAATTACCAATTTAAAAACACACTGGTGCAACTTTGCTGCTCTGGACGTCCTTCCCGTCTTTAAAAGACCCAAACAAGACAAACTAATGAACTCTCTTAAAGCTTTTACAGCAGAAACGCCATCGCTAGAACTAATTCAATTAGCTCAATTCGTCGCGATTTTAATCGATTATTTTTCTCTGTTTCGCAGCGAATGCGACGAACTCGGTCGACATTTGACTGGATATGGACATTAGGAGTGGAAATGTGAGTGGACTGTCTTAGATTTGCCGTTATATTCGCTAAAATGCGCGTTTTTGAAAAACATTATTCGATTTCTGACAGAAACTTTTAGCTCAAACTTACCAGGCTGCTCGTTAGCTTCATGCTGCGGTGATATAAACCACTCCAAGGCTCAGAAAGCTCCGCTGGTCGAGGCTGAAGTGAACATTTCTAGAAGATTTCCGCCTCTGGAAGCTACATTGTCGACTATTTAGTGAAATTATTCGACTTCACTCACTCTCTCTCTTACTCTCCCTCTCTGTCTCTCACTCACTCTCTCTTTCTGACTCTCCTTCTCTGTCTCACACTCCCTCTCGCCCAGCTGAGGCGAACTCTCGGTAAACAACAGATGAGCTGTCTTGAGGCGCCTGAGAAAATGCGAGTTGGATGAGCTCCTCCTCTTTGCTTCACCTGCCTCATTCAGGTTTTCTGTCTGACTCGTGGAGGAAGGCAGCTCTGGGGGGTCAGACATTGAGATTGATTTGATTTAAAGGGGATTTCCGCTGGTTTTTCAGAATGTCGGCACAATTCAGTGTTTGACAGATGACTGTAAACACGAGTTACATTAGCATTAGGGAGTTTTAGAGGCATTCGATTCTTCAGACGTCTGGTTCCTATCACCGCCACTATGAACAGTTCTGGCTCTAGAATGGAGACTTTCACACCGAGCCACTCTGAGTGGCTTTGTTTGCATCCAAGTGTGTCGCCAGGCCAGTTTTAGAGGGGCCCAAGTATTATTTAGCCCCCCAAATGAATGTAGTTCGAGCTGTGTTAGTGCCCACCGTCCTGTTGAAGTGAAGAGCATTTGTTTGAAGCGCTTCATTTCCCACGTCTTCTTTTTCTATGCCGACACCACCTTATTTAGCCCCCCACCCCAGCACCCCCACCCCCACCCCCAAATTACATTTGTGCAAATCAACAACAGTATTTTTTATACATCCTTCATTATTCAACTGTGCCACTGTGTATCCTACCATGTTGGTGACACCCCGTATAAATAAAATTAATGCGTGGCCATGACTTAGTAAGGTGTGGGAACAAGATAATTAAGTCATGGCCATGTGTTATCAAGTCGAATTACTTTCATTTATACAGGATGTCACCAACACGGCTTTGTAGTATCCAGTTTCACAATATACATTTCTATATTTTGGCATTCAGAGACTCTGGAGGTGTGGCTCTGCAGACGCCACATGCAAAGGCTCATGGTAGGTGTGCGCACTCCAACAAAGGGGCTGTTTGTTGTTGTGGAAGGTGTGCGTTATGGTTATGTGTACATGTTTTATGTGTCTGCGATGTTCAGGACAGCGTTGCTGGCTCAGTGTGCGGTAGTGAGAGCAGAAGGGCCAGGTCAAGCGCCGCTATTGTTGCTGCGCGGGACTTGATGTAGCATCCTACCTGAGAAGGAGCCGCTATATGGGGGTGCGGCCCTGAGGGAAGACTTGGACGCTTGCCGTTGAGGAGTAGGTGCCCTGTGGTTTTTGCTTGAAGGGACTGTGCGTGCACCCAGGGACTTGGCGCGTAGCTGGGGACCAGCTGACCTTTAAAGGGGGGACAATGTAGCGACCCTCTACTGACTGGCGCTGGCTATGAGAGACTCTGGAGGCATGGCTGTGCTGATGACCACATGCACCAAAGGGACTGTTTGTTGTTGTTAATGTTGTTGTTTGTCAGTTTAGGTTATGTGTACATGTTTCATGTGTTGTCATGTGTCAGGGAGTGGGCTCATGGGTGGGTTTTGTGTATGAGGGTTAGCCACCATCAGGGTGAAGCCTGTGGCTATTAATGACCTCCTCTGTGCCATGTATGTGCCTTTTCTGTTGGTGTGTCTGGTTGTACAAACTGAGACTGTACCTATAATCTCTGTATTTGAACAACATTTAGGAGCTGCAGCTTATCTAAGAGAGGAGATTGCAGTGCTTGACTTTATTAATACCTTTATTTGATCTGTCTAGGTTGACAGATATTAAAATTGTACTAAATCCATGCTTAATAAAAACAGAGACAGATGTACTGTGTGCCAATTAGACCAAATAGCCACTTTTGGTACATTTTTCACATATCTCTATTCTAAAAGCTCAGAAGGAATAGGTATTTTGGGGAGCATGCACTCAGACCCCCCTAAGTCAAGGCCTTAGCCCCCCCATCCATTAATCTCTAGTGACGCCCCTGTTTACATCTCAGTGACTGAATTGATCATATGGGAAACTTTGTATACATTTCTACATTTCTAATTAAAGAATTCCAATTTTAAAGAGTAAAATCAGGCAAATCAGATTTGTTTCTCAAATCAGATCTTTTGAGACGACTGTCCACACTGTTATTTGCATGTGATCAGTTTGGATTTATGTGTCCAGATATTATCAATCTATCTGCATGGGTTGCTGTGGTAACGGTGTAGGCGTCAGTAACTGTGTAGCTACCCTGGTGACGTGAATTTCAATGCAGGAGAGATGGAGATGCATCATCTCACCCTCCAAACAAATTTTGTGGCATAAGCATGAATCCTTGGTGTGCTTCCTGAATCCCAGCACTTCCGTCATTCTGGATTTGACATCGTCGTTGTTTGTCACGTTTTGAGTGACACAAAAGACACTTTGAAATCCGATTTTAGTGTCCAGAGCGTCCAGACTGAGATGCGTCTGTAAAAATTCGATTGGAATCGCATTGCAAACCACCTCCAAATGTGGTTTGGAATTGATTTGCAAAAATCAAATTTTGTGTCTTTTTTTTTTGCTGTCCAGACTATCAAAAATCAAACTGGATACAATCTGGATATGTCAAAAATTGGATTTGTTGTGAGTTTCATAACAAGCTTTTCCAGGATACTAAAGATTTTTTGTCAAAGTTTTGATTAAATGGTTGGGATGTAAACAGAGTCATTCAGAGTGGCTTTGCTGTGAAATGGTTGATTGTAGAGACTCTTTCTCTACAGCGGTACTGATAAGAACCAGACGATAAGAACCTAAAAGCTCCCTCACAGAAAGTTATTATGAATACATTGCTGGATGTCTGAGATATTGTTTTATGATAGTTTGAGAAGGTTGTGGCCTAAAATATATTTCATATTTTCAAAACCTATTTGCAGTGGAGGGACACATGCAGGCCGTTGTGAGGCAAAATAGACCCCAAAGAAAACTTTTTTCCAATTTTCCACTGTTTTATCATTATCAAAACTCGTGTAGGTTCACTGGTGGTTTTGGATAGTGAATAAAATGTCTATATTAGTGTTGTAGACATGGTGACCCCTGGTTCCTATCACCACCACTGTAAAGACATCTGAGTCTCTACAATCAACCATTTCACACCAAACCACTCTGAATGACTCTGTGTACATCTCCACTATTAGGTTTGCCTTTCTTAACTCACTCATCTGTGGCAAACTGACTCTAATTAGCCTGCACAAGAGGTCATTAAATTTACAATGACACTTTTCCCGCCAACAAACACACATACTATACAGTTTCTAGCCACTTATCAGACGAAATTTCAGCACTATCAGGCCAACAGTTGCCTGCGCTGCAGTGATATCCTGACTGCTGGACGGCCGTCTGTAGCCGCTGTCACTTCACAGGAAGGTAGGCGGAGGGTGGGATCTTGTTTAAGTGACTTATTTACCAAGCGCAAGGGGAATTTCACTCCTAGGTGATTCATGTGACCAACGCTGCTCCCTTTTCTTTGAGCTCAGAAAAAAGGTGGAGTGAGACAGCAGATTTAGAGGGGGGAAGTTTAAAGAGGGGAATATAAAAGGAAAAATGAGCAGATCAGTAATCAACCAACTAGAAACACAAAGGGCCGACATCACTGCCGATGTTTTTTATTGAGAAATCTACCGATTATTCAAAGATTATTTGACTACACTGAGTGTGTAAAGAAGAATTTCACTGATTTTTTAAGATTTCGGTGTAATTCAGTGGTTGACATGTAAACAAAGTCATTCAGAGTGGTTGGATGTGAAATGGTTCCAGTGGTGGTGATAGTAACAGGGGTTGCAAATGCAACAAATATAGCCATCTAATGTACTATATGAGGCTGCATATGTTACATTGATAGTGGCCTTACAACGTCCTGCATCCACCATGAATTACATTTCAAAAACACATTTTAGGCCAAAACTTTATCAGAAACCGTTGTGGCTCACACATCAGACAGCATATTTATAACCATTTCATGTAATAATCCTCTGTGAGGGAGCTTTTAGAGGTGGATGTCTGGTTCCTATCACCACCACTGTGAACAATTCTGACTCAGTACATTTCTCTGGAGTATTCAACACTTCAATGATTTAATTATGCAAAAATGTTTTAAAAAATGGGTGGAATTCCCATTTTTAGGCTTTCTTACCTGTATGTTTTTTCCACTGCACAAAACCAAAAACTGGCCAAAACAGGCACCAACAGAACTTATGGATCTAGTTCTGCTTTGGTTTCCACCTCCTTGAGATTTTTGGTCATTTTATGCCACTCTAAAGCATTTGATTAGGCTAATTAGCTACCTGCTTAGGAAACAGCCTTATGCTTCCAAGGCCCAGTGTTCCCTCTGAGTAGTTTTGTAAACAGGCCTCTTATTACCTGACAGCTTGCATAACAAAGTTTTCTGGCTAATTATCTTACTTAGGCTGGCCAATTCAAAGGCAGTGCATTCCTTTTGAAAAATCAGCTCCTGATTGCCCCGTTTGACCTTTATAAAGCACTAAAGAGCAAAGAACAGATAACAGATGCACATATATAAATACATATATATATATATATATGGCACTAAGCACTAAAACGTGAGTTAGGAGAATGTTTAACTAAATGTTTGAATTGAGTTAACTCAAAAGACACAGCATCCTAAGTTGACATATAATTTGCGGTTGCTAAGGTTTTGCTAGGCCTTTGGTATGGTATCCCAGGAGTTTGCTAATGTGCTGCTAGGCCCTAGGTGTAGTGTCCCAGGTGGTTGCTAAGGTGTTGCTAGGCCCCTGGTATGGTATCCCAGGTGGTGCTGAAGAGTTACTAGTCCCTAGTGTAGTATCCCAGGTGGTTGCTGAAGAGTTGCTAGGCCCTTTGCATGGTATCCCAGGTGGTTGCTGAAGAGTTGCTAGGCCCATGCTTATGTGCTAGTATCTATGTGAGACTGTATGTGATATCTGTAAGGGGCAGTGTGATAGATGTTCTTTGTAGCATCATTTGGGACAGATTTGAACTTCCACCATTCATTTCCTACGTGGATTTCAGCAGGTAGGCAGTTGGGAGCCACTGCTCTGGCGAATCTAACTGCTGTTGCTGAAATTTCGCAGTTGTCACAATGACAACTGTGAAATTTCAACAACACTTTATGTTACTGGCACTGATAGACGTGCCACTGACTAACGTCTACACTTTCATGCTGTGCAGATTTCCTGTGGCGAGAGAGCAGCTAG